TTTCAGTCCAATTGGAAACCAGAGAAGGCAATAGTGGACCAGTAAATGAATTCCCAGATAAACCCAATTCAACAATGTTGGTAAGCTTGGACAAGGACAGAGGCAGTTCCCCACTGAGGAAACTGGAAGCCAGGGCCAAGTAGGTGAGGTTGGTACAAAGACCAAGCTCAGACGGGATTGAAGAGTTCAAAAAATTGTTTCCAAGATCAAGGTATTTGAGCTCCCTGAGTTGGCCTATAGAGGATGGAATTGGCCCTTCAAGGGAATTGTTAAGCAGGTCAATTCTTTGAAGGCCAGATATCAAACCAATATGTTCAGGAATTGGACCACTGAAGTGGTTCAGAGCTAAATTAAGGTGTTTAAGCTTAGGAAAGCTTGTTGGCAATGGTCCTTGGAATTGGTTATTGGTGAGATTGAGAAACTCAAGCTTGCCCAGATTAGTAAATACCACTTCTGGTATTTGACCAGTGAAAGCATTTTGAGACAAGTCCAGGAATGTCAAGTTCAAACATTTAGATATAAATTCTGGGAATTCTGAATCAAGACTGTTTAGATAAAAATCAAGGTATGTCAAAGAAGGCATGCCTGAAAATTTAGACCAGTCAGGAGTTTCTAAGTAGTTTCCTCCAAGAATCAAAAACTGTACCTTTTGGAGATTGCTAAGCTGATAGGGAATTACACCAGTGAGAGTGTTGTTGAAGAAACTCAAATACTGAAGCTCAGTCAACATGCCTATCTGCACAGGTATTTCTTGAATGAATAAGTTGTTGCCCAAGTCCAAAGTTGTGAGCTTGGAGAGTTTGCCAATGGCAGATGGCACAGGCCCTGTGAAATTGTTGAAATTGAGGTTGAATTGGGTGAGATTGAGAAATGGGGTGAAGTTGAAATGGGTTAGTGTTGCAGAGATGTTGAAGTTGGAGAGGTCAATTTGGGAAACTTGTTTGCTGCTCTGGTCACAAACAATGGCAGTCCAGTTGCAAAGATTGTTGAGGTTAGTGAGGGACCATGAAGTGAGAGAAGGTGGTGCATCATAAAAGGTGTTCTTCCAACTTAGCAAAGCTTCTGCCTGTGTTTTTGGTGATGAAATGGCCTTGAATGGAAGCAAAGCAAGCAGGACAATATGAAGGAGAAGAAGAAGATAAGTAGGCTTCTGACCAGAGAAAACTCCTCCTTCCATGGTGGTTTGACGCGTTAATGTTATGTATGAATTTTATCCAAGATTTATAGAGGTATAGTGGGTCCACTTGTCCATTAACTTCTTCATATTAAAATGACAGGAAAAAGATAGGTCAACTTAAAAGGTCATGCTCATGGTTTTGTATGCAGATGCATTGGATGGATTTGATTCTTCTGAGTGTGCAAGTTGGAGTGAATGTTTTAAGAAAGAGACTTTTATGAAAAAGATTAAAAGACATGCGCAGTATATGTATTATTTAAGAGCATCTCCAACCGATGTGTTAAACGTGCCACATAGATATTTAACAGCTAGAAATAATATCTCATATCATTCCAACCGATATGTCAAAGCTGATGTGGAATGAAGGCTGGAGGTTGAGATGTTATTTTTGACATTCCAAATGCAAGATGTCAAATGAATATTTTATTATTTATTATTTTATTATATTTTTAATTAAAAATGAATCAGCACTAAAATGTAATAAAATAATAATTTAATTTGACATATCGGGTAAAGTGTAAAGCTGTATAAAATGTCAAATTGCCACATCAGCCATCAAATTTAAATGTGATGTTTGGTATTTGACATCTCCCTTGGAGATGCTCTAAAACGTACACACATTCAAAGAGACATATAGCTAATGCTAAAATTAAAATATATTGCAGTTTTGATGAAGATTGTTGAAAATAATGCTAAATACCCAAACCAACCAAACTAGTGGTCCACCATCTTTTTTTAATACAAAAAATGTTATAGTTTAATCTAATCTAAATTACAGGAAAGGGGATTCGAACTCAGGTGCAGAGTGAAGCACATCCGCTATAGTGAACTTGACTAAACCCTGTTTTTTTCAATTAGCTTTAATATGGAGTATATTTGCACACCATACAAAATATATATAATCTTAACCAAAAACAAAAGAAAAAAAATGCAAAAAATGTATAATGTATAGAAAACAATTTTATCTGTACCCATCGATACAGAATCATGAAAATAAAATGAAATTGGTGTACGATCGATTAGAAAATAGAGGGGCCGCTTACATTACTGCATTAAAATATTTTAATGGAAAATGATTATTCAGTCCAAATGGATAATTATTTGAGGTTAGGAATTTGGGCACTTATATATTTTAATTGCAAAAATGATTATTCAGCCAAATGGATAATTAGTTGAGGTTAAAAATTTATGTAGTTTGGAGCATGGAATAAGGAGCACCCTTTTAAGTGGAATTTTTTCACCAAACATTTGGCATAGAAAATTAAAGTACTTTAAAAAAAAACCAATAAAGAGAAGACAGATTAACAATCTGATAAGTCATACCATCTAGATTCAAACTAGATGCTTCAACTTCTTGGTCTTTTTGGATATCTACTTTCTCTTTTTTGGCAATTAAAGGAAGACCATCTAGATTCATTTGTACACTATTAATAAAATAGACATAACACGCGAGTAAAAAGAAATGTTAACAACAATCGTACACGTGCAAATTCAAAAATGATAAACAATTACTGTATAAGAATTATAGATCGACATATGAACGACTATGACGAACATCTAAGATACAACAAAATTATTTTAAAAATTCTGTGTTATGTATTGGATTAATTTCCAACTATACCAACCGAAACATGAACTTCCCAACTACCAAGGATAATACCACGTAGGTTCCAAGAAGGGAACCAGCCCCTTAAAAGGCATCAAATAGTATTAAAACTTTCACCAACATAGTAGTGGTGGTACCAGGCTATGCCAAAAAACACTTGCCTGCTCCCTCCATCTCTCTCCTCACGTGCTAATCACGTGAGTATCAGTCTGTGGAGAGAACTGCGAAATTGAAAATGAAGATTGAAGAAGTTTGCCTGCTGTTGCTGCTTAGTCCTCCTAGTGAGAACAGGATGACGAGACAGAAGAAAAAAAATTCTAGTGAGTGAGACAATAACAAGTCAAGTCTCCAGGTACTTTTCAAAGTTGATCAACTTCATTTTTCCAAAGTTGAACATGGCAATATCTGCCTTTTAAGTTTTAATTATTCCAATTTTAAAAGGACTTACTTTGGTTAAGAAATATTGTAATTGTACCTTCCATAGCATAGCAAAAGACTTCACTGGTGTGGTTTTGATACATACTTGCAGTGGTCCCTGTATTTCTTTGGTATTTCTCACGGTGATTTCAACGTCGAAATTTCAACATTTTTCTTATTTTGCAGGGCAACTAGTCAAAATTTTAATCGAAATTGTAATATTTTTCTGCTTCTTTTTTCTGTTTATAGTAGGTAAGGCTAATTTTGAAAGATGGTGATCATGAAGATGAATTCCTTTTGAGTCTCATAGAACAATACATAAATAGAGAATTTGCTCGTCTTCAAAATTCACTTTCAATTTCACATTTGTCTACACAGACAGATATTGGACCCTACCCTACACTTTTTTCAGCAATCTATCACCTTGTTGGAAATTTTTAACATTCTTTCATGCACTTCAAGGGCAAGTGCAGCGCACCAGCCTTGCCAGGGCAACATGCCCCCTCCAGCCCAAATCCAGCTCCAGGGCGAGGAATCCAGCCGGGGCAAGCCTTGGGTCCCACCAGCTCGGGCAATTCTTGTCTGGGCTCAAGCTTGAAGGCTCTGACATCAACGAGCACATTTAAAAAAAAATTTGACTTCTGCTCGCTGACGTCAGCGCGACGATGTCACCACTAACAAAACCCAACGGGAAAAATGCCACATGGCGCTTCCTGGATGCTCTGATGGTTTTTTTTCCAGAAATCTGACGGCGCTATGCCAAAAAACACTTGCTTGCTCCCTCCATCTCTCTCCTCACGTGCTAATCACGTGAGTATCAGTCTGTGGAGAGAAATGCGAAATTGAAAATGAAGATTGAGGAAGTTTGCCTGCTGTTGCTGCTTAGTCCTCCTCCTGTGAGAATAGGATGACAAGACAGAAGGAAAAAAATCTAGTGAGTGGGACAATGACAAGTCAAGTCTCCAGGTACTTTTCAAAGTTGATCAACTTCATTTTTCCAAAGTTGAACATGGCAATATCTGCCTTTTAAGTTTTAATTATTCCAATTTTAAAAGGACTTACTTTGGTTAAGAAATATTGTAATAGTACCTTCCATAGCATAGCAAAAGACTTCATTGGTGTGGTATTGATACATACTTGCAATGCTCCCTGTATTTCTTCGGTACTTCTTACGGTGATTTCAATGTCGAAATTTCAACAATTTTCTTATTTTGCAGGGCACTAGTTGAAATTTTAATCGAAATTGTAATATTTTTCTGCTTCTTTTTCTGTTTATAGTAGGTAAGGCTAATTTTAAAAGATGGTGATCATGAAGATGAATTCCTTTTGAGTCTCATAGAACAATACATACATAGAGAATTTGCTCATCCTCAAACTTCACTTCAATTTCACATTTGTCTACACAGACAGATATTGGACCCTACCCTACACTTTTTTCAGCAATCCATCACCTTGTTGGAAATTTTTAACATTCTTTCATGCACTTTAAGGGCCCAGTTTCTTTTTAGGCCCCAACAGTTCGGTGGTTGCTAACTAGTTTTTGGTTCTTTTCTTTCTGGACGACACTTTGGTTGTTGGTAGGTCGGAAGTGTTACTTTTGTTGGTAGTTGAAAACTTAATCAAATGCATAACATAGAAGTTTTAACATAATCTGGTTGGATTACACGAGTAATCGATTCGTGAATAATTGTTATAAATCAACGTTTACAACCGTTCATGTTGACAGGATAGAGCTACAACCCTTAACATTGCATCGGTACATAAACGATTAGTATTCATATATGTTTGGACCTCTTATGTTTAAAAGTTCTTCTGGTTTTGAAAATTTGCCAACTTGTTGATGGTGATCATGCCAAATGGTACAGAGAGGTTAGCCTGGGTCCTGGCTGATGATAGTTCTTTTGCCACAAAATCCATGGTAGGTCTTGACTCTGCATTAGTGCGCGTACAGGCCAAAGCCATGGTTACCACAGAAGCCACTGCCGCTGCTGACTGAACGGGAGGAGGCCTTAGCCGTTGGTCTAACAAATCCTTCAAAAGCAATTCTGCATTTTCTGGTAATGAGACTGATAGGGAAGCTAAAAGCTCTCCAGGATGCCTTCCCATCATTATTTCTAATGCCACCACTCCAAAGCTATACACATCGCACTTATCCGTCACACGCATTGTGAAAGCCAGCTCTACATGCACATCAGAACAACAAAATCAACCAACATTTTTCTATCATAAACAATGTGTCAATATAAGTCATGTATAAATTGAATATTAGTTTATTGGATTTTACCTGGAGCCATGTAGCCGTAAGATCCAGCTACAGAAGTCCAATTGGATGAATCTGTGCTCAACAACCTTGCAGTTCCAAAATCCGATAACCGTGGCACGAAACCCTTCTCAAGTAATATGTTGTTCAAAGTTATGTCCCTGTGAACAATTGGAGGAGAGCAATCATTGTGCAAGTAAGCAATTGCATGAGCTAGCCCTTGCACAATTTTCACCCTTGTGCTCCATCCAAGTTCTTCTTCCCTTTCCTCTGTCCTTTTCTCAAGCTACCCCTCTCTGCATATTCATACACCAAGTACAAGCAGTCCCTCCATGAACAGAACCCATAGAGATTTATTATGTTTCTGTGCCTCACTTCTGTCAAGGTTCGTATCTCATTCTCAAAACTTTGGCGATTTATTTCTGGAATGTCACTAGAGTCTGAAATGTTCAGCTTCTTAACTGCAACCACTTTCCCCCTGCCCAACATAGCCTTGTAGACACTCCCAAATCCTCCTTTTCCAATGAGGTATTTCTCATCAAAGTTCTCCGTCGCGTTCACAATTGCACCAAATGTGAATTTTCCATATCTTCCCAATATCCCTAAATCTAAACTCTCAGACATCCTAGGACTTTCGGTTTCTTTAAGCTTCGATTTCCGGCTGAACTTTAGCACTGCAGCAGTACTTGTAGTTGCAACCACTAATATAACACAACTGGAAACCAGGAAAGCAAGTAGAACCTTGCTAATCTTGTTGGACTTTCCGGGATTTGAGTTGCATGGAGTTAGACCCTCGGTATCTCCACACAAGCCATCATTTCCAAGAAAGGAATTTGCAGGCTCTTTTCGAAAAATGGCACCAGTTGGGATTGGACCAGTTAAGTTATTGTAAGAGAAATCAATGCCAAATAGACTAACCATTCTGGAAAATGTTTCTGGGATGCTCCCTGAGAGATGGTTATGTGAGACATTAAGAATCTCCAGCCGTATAAGCTTAGCCAGGTCTGCAGGAAGCGGTTCTGAGAGTGAATTGCTGCTGAGGTCCAACAAGTACTGCAAGGGCAAATTACCAAGCTCTGGTGGTATTTGACCAAATAAATTGTTGTGGCTCAGATTTAAAGTTGACAACCTCTCAAACTTACCAAGCTCTATGGGGATTTTTCCTGACAAATTGTTTTTGGATAAATCAAGTTCCCGGAGATTAGTCAAATTGCTTAGACTCTTGGGGATGTCTTCTGTCAAATGATTCTTGCTCAGATTGAGCTTGTACAGTAGGCCTAAGTTTCCCAACTGAGCCGGAATGTATCCAGTCAAGTCATTAGAGTCCAGGATTAGTTCTTCCAATTTGCTCAACTTCCCAAGCTCAGGTGGGATTTGACCAGAAATTTTATTTCTATCCATCCATAAGCGTTTGAGACTTTTACATTCTCCCAATTCTGGTGAGATTTCACCAACAAATTTATTATTGCTGAGAAAAACAGAGTTAAGATTAGGATGAATACCAAATGAATTTGTAATGCTTCCCGTGAATTGGTTGTGAAGAACAGCAACTGTTCGTAGTTTTGAACAATTTCTCAAGCACTTTGGCAATGACCCGGAGAAGTTGTTATCATCTACAGACAATTCTTCCAGAGCAGAACCGCTACACAATTCTGGTGGCAGCTCTCCTTTAAAGCTGTTGTTCGAAAGGCGCAGAATGCTCAAATTAGGACTGTACCTGCCAAAATCCCTCGGAATGCTTCCCGAAAAATTATTGGTGAACACAGAAAATGACTTTAATTTAGTAAGCCGAGAAATGGTGCCTGGCAACTCTCCATACAGGTGGTTAGTGTCTGCATCAAATTCCTCCAGTGACACCATATTTTCAATCTCTGGTGGAATCATGCCAGTGAGATTGTTGAAGTAAAGGTTGACTGTCTTAATATTTGTGAGGTTCCAGAGTGTCATAGGAATTGGCCCTGAGAGCTGGTTTCCTGAAAGAGCCAATGTTGTCAAATCTTTCAAGTAACCAATCTCTGAGGGAATTGATCCAGAGAAGTTATTGTTGTATAGAAAAAGGTAGTTGAGCTTTGTCAACAGGCCAATTTCTGCTGGAATATTCCCATTGAACTTATTGTTTTGAAGTTGCAAAGATTCCACTTCAGTCCAATTGGAGATAAGGGAAGGCAGGATGGGACCTGTAAGATGATTTTCAGATAAACCCAATCGATTGATGTTGTTCAGATTGGACAAGGACAGAGGCAATTCCCCATTGAGTTTATTGGAAGCCAGGGCCAAGTAGGTGAGGCTGGTACATAAACCAAGCTCAGAAGGGATTGAAGAGTTTAAGGAATTTTTACGAAGATCAAGGTGCTTCAGCTCTCGGAGTTGGCCTATAGAAGGGGGAATTTTCCCTTCAAGGTGATTGGAAGTCAGGTCCAAGTAGGAGAGGTTGGTACAAAGACCAAGCTCAGATGGGATTGATGAGTTTAAGGAATTCATTTGAAGATCAAGGTACTGAAGCTCCCTGAGTTGGCCTATAGAGGATGGAATTTTCCCTTCAAGGGAATTTTGAAGCAGGTCCATACGCTGAAGACCAGATATTGAACCGATATCTTCAGGAATTGGGCCACTGAAATTGTTCACTTGTGCATGAAGGTGTTTGAGCTTGGTAAGTTTGGAAAAGTTTTTTGGAAAGGGTCCTTGAAACAAGTTGTTAGTGAGATTGAGATATTCAAGTTTGGCCAGATTGTTACATACTGCTTCTGGTATTTGGCCAGTCATATGAGTCTGAGACAAGTCAAGGAATGTCAAGTTCCAACAATGGGATATGAAATCTGGGAAATCTGAATTTAGATTAGTATTATTATGAATATCAAGGTAGGTCAATGAAGGCATGCCTGAAAACTTGGACCAATCAGGAGACATAAAGATGTTTGATGCAAGGTCCAAGTACCATACCTTTTGGAGATGGCTTAGTTGATAAGGGATGGCACCATAGAGACTGTTGTTGTGGAAACTCAAGTACTGCAGCTCTGCTAACCTGCCTATCTCAGATGGTATTTCTTGATCAAAAACGTTGTTGCCCAAGTCCAAGAATGTGAGGCTGGTGAGGTTGCCAATGGCAGATGGAATTTGTCCACTGAAATTGTTGCTGAAGAGGTTGAAGTGAGTGAGATTGGGAAACCGGATGAAGTCGAATCGGGTTAATGTTCCGGTGATGTTCATGTTGGAGAGGTCTATTTTGGAGACTGTTCTGGTTTTGGTGGTGTGATCGCCGCATGCAACGCCGGTCCAGTTGCAAAGGTTGTTGATGTTGGTGAGGGACCATGAATGGAGAAGTGAAGGTGGTGGAGAAGAAGAAGAAGAAGAAAAGCTTCTCTTCCATTTGATCAGGGCCTCTGCCTGTGCTATTGGTGTTGGAGATGATGATGTGGTTGTGATAAGTGGCAATGAGGAAAACAGGAAAATGTGAAAGAGGAGGGAAAGAGGTTTCTGAATCATTGGCATGGTTTGGACTTGCATTTGGTTTAGTGTTGGATCTGATTTGAGTTTGTCAACTTGTGACATAAAGTTTGGGAATTGTTGCCGTGGATGGTTCATTTCTTAGATGCATGCATGCTTCCTTATATAGAGAAGAAGCACGAGTTACACATCTCACTTGGACTCTCCCCTAATTTGTTTCACACGCACAATTTCGGCTTATATAGAGAAGAAGCACGAGTTCCATTTGGGACTGGAATTCACATGTGAAAACTCGCTTAATAATTTGGACTCGGTGTCTATAAAGTGGTAACCGTCCAAAAAATTATTAGCATAAAAGAAGCTTTGGCAGTTAAGTGGGATTACTATTACTCATTATTTGGCTTATCAAGTTAAACAAACATTAAGTAGCTAAAGTGTGTGAAGCAACTTATTACAAATTTACAAGTCTATGATGATATTATGTTGTCCATTCATATTTTAACAAGTGAGTATCACCATTAATGGCGGAGTTATGATTCTTAGCATGGAGGGGCCAAAATTTCAAAATCACTTCCACATAGGTTTTTCATCTTCAACTGAGAGGGCCGGCACTAATCTAATTGCAGTAATTATGTTGATATATCATATATTTTATAATATATTGCAAGAGATTGAAAAATTAAATAGGGGGGCCCAGGCCATGGCACATGCCTTGCTGTGGCTCGGCCCCTAACCACCATATTGTTGAGAGAGTTTGTCCCACATTGAAATGTTAAGGGATCTAGCTTGGGTTTATAAAGAGTTGGGCTACTCTCCCCATTGTCAATTGGTTTTGGGGTGGAACCTCAACTTCCTTCACCATGTAACTATATGATTGTAAACACACAAAAAAAAATCCTAATAAAAATCCCAATATCACCAATTAGTGCCTGAATTGAATTCATAAGTAGAAGATGTTATGGTAGGTAGATAAAATACTATATGATCTTACAAATTTAATAAAACACAGCATTAAAACCATCTCCAAGTGCTCAAAGTTCTTTGAACTTGAGTCCCAATGAACAATGAGTGTTTCACCTCAAAAGGTGTGGGTTCAAATCAAGATATGTAAGGAAGCTGTGTAGCTGCGCCGTTTTTCCAAATCAAGAACAACTCAAAAGTTGGTTGAATACAGTAAACTCTCAATTTACACGGCTTCAGCAGCAATTCGAAGTTTCCTGGTAGTACAACAAGTACTTATTATGAAGACCGTACGGAGGGAAACGAAAAAACCAAAACAAAACAAAAGATGGGTTGTTATTAGTGTTGTTTCTTCTTGGGAAGCCTGCAAACCCTGCACTTTTAAGTTCCCACTAGCTAGCCAACCATCGAGTCATGAAAAAGGGTTTTGACTTGCAATTTAGTGGTCCTAAGTTCGAACTTCGTGACACCTTGATAGTGTGTGAGCGCAAACTCCATCCCTTTGTGGCTTATAGTTTAGACTATTGCTTGAATTCAAAATTAAAAAAAGTTCTCACTAGCTGCGATTTATTTGCTTACATTTGGGTTGAGCCTACAGAAGGCCCACATAACGAGTGTTGAACTAGCCCACTCTAGCCCAACATCCTAAGAAAAATGCAGGAGCCAACGGATCTATTTGGCGGGAAGCAACAGGCCACCAAGTGCTTGCTTCTTCCTCTTTTCTTTGAAAACTGTCATCCTCAAAATCTCACCTTTGGATGGATTCCAAATCGCCAAATTTGTTTGGGTCTCTACAACGACTTCCTCCAAAAACCTTCAAATCCAAGGCACCCAGAAGCCGAGAAATTTAAAAATAAAATAAAAATAAAAACCCCTAATGTTATGGTGTGGGTACTAAATAAATAGGTAATGCCCTTTGCCACCTCTCTTCTTTCCATGAGTTTTGTGGGGATTTGATAGATTTCCCCATTCCATTAGTTAGGCATGTTGGGGATATGTTTTGATTGACTAGTTGATTAATTAATCATCTATGATGCACTTTTGTCAAGAAGCATGCCCATAGAACCATCTTTTTTCCTTTTTTATTTTTTTGTGAAATAAATGCGAACGGACATTTCAAACGTAAAATAGGGGCCAAGGGATGACTAAGACCATGCCAGTCAAGTTGAGGAAACATTTGGAACCACACAACTTTTCTTTGTCATAATAATATCCCAATTATGAAACAAGAAATGGAACTCAAATATCAAACAGAGTCGACTGAGAGCACCATGAAAGGAGTTCAGAAGCCTCCTCTTTTTCTTCTTCTCCTTCATATTTCCTTGCTTTTCTTGCTTCCATTGAACGCCGCCTCATCACCAAGAGCACAGGCAGAAGCTCTCATAAGCTGGAAGAACGACTTTGCTTCTTCACCACCTTCTCTCAATTCCTGGTCCCTCACAAACCTCAACAACCTTTGCAATTGGACTGCCATTGTCTGTGACCACAACACCAAAACAATTTCCCAAGTTGACCTCTCCAACTTCAACATCACTGCAACACTAACCCATTTCCACTTCACCCCATTTCTCAATCTCACCCAATTCAACCTCAATGGCAACAATTTCACAGGTCCTATACCATCCGCCGTTGGCAACCTCTCCAAGCTCACAACTTTGACTTGGGCAACAACTTATTCAATCAAGAAATACCTCCGCAGATAGGCATGTTGACTGAGCTTCAGTATTTGAGTTTCTTCAACAACAATCTCACTGGTGTAATTCCCTCTCAGCTGAGCAATCTCCAAAAGGTACAGTTTTTTATTCTTGGGGCAAACTACTTAGAAACTCCTGACTGGTCTGAATTTTCAGGCATGCCTTCGTTGACTTACCTTGATCTTTCTGCAAACCGTTTCTCTTCAGAATTTCCAAAATTTATATCTGAATGCCGGAACTTGACATTCCTTGACTTGTCTACAAATTTTTTTACCGGGCAAATACCAGCTCAGATATTTACCAATCTAGGCAAGCTTGAATATCTCAATCTCACCAACAACCAATTCCAAGGACCACTGCCATCAAACTTCCCCAAGCTTAAACACCTTCATTTAGCACAAAACAACTTCGGTGGTGCTATTCCTGAAGATATTGGCAAATTGACTCGGCTTGAGGTTCTTGATTTGTCAAATAACAATTTGACAGGAGAAATACCACCTGAGCTTGGCACATTTGACAAATTAACAGGCATAGCTTATTTTTACCACTTGGATCTCAGCAGCAATTCACTCTCGGGCGCAATACCTTCAAGCTTGGGAAAGCTCACAAGCTTAAAGGTTTTCAATGTCTCACACAACCATTTATCAGGGGATATTCCATCGGCATTTTTCAAAATTCTTAATCTAGATAGCTATGACTTTTCTTACAACAACTTGACAGGGCCAATCCCAATTTGGTGCCATTTCGAAAATGCACCAGCTAATGCCTTCGCTGGAAACTCTGGTATGTTTGGAAATCTGCATGGACCAACTGAATGCAATCCCTCTAGCAGACTTTCCAAAAAGAAAAAATTTCTAATTGGTGTACTTTTACCTGTTTGTGGTTTATCATTTGTTGCAATTACAATTGCTATGATTCTTATGTTGCGTAAGAATCCCAAGCTCTTTATAGAGGAAATCAAAATTTCTCATAACTTTGAGACTTTTGAGTCAATGATACTGCAAGAAAAAGTAAAATTTACGTTTGGAGAAGTTGTGAAGGCTATAGAGGATTTTCATGACAAGTATTGCATCGGAAAAGGAGGATTTGGAAAGGTATACAAGGCTGAGTTACCATCAAGCCAAGTTGTTGCAGTTAAAAGGCTTAACATGTGCGACTCTAATGACATTCCAGCAATCAATCTCCGAAGTTTCGAGAATGAAATCCGAACGTTGACAAATCTCCGGCACCGGAACATCATAAGGCTATATGGGTTCTGTTCAAGGAGGGGCTGCGTCTTCTTGCTCTATGAATATTTAGAGAGAGGCAGCCTGGGAAAAGCATTGTATGGAATTGAAGGGGTAACTGAACTTGGTTGGGCTACGAGGCTCAAAATTGTGCAAGGACTAGCTTATGCACTCTCTTACTTGCACCATGACTGCTCTCCACCAATAGTGCACCGAGATGTAACTGTCAACAATGTCTTGCTCGATTCAGATTTCGAACCCCGACTTTCAGATTTTGGAACAGCAAGACTGATTAGTGTCAATTCATCCAACTGCACCCATATTGTTGGCTCATTTGGCTACATGGCACCAGGTAACTTACCAATTTAATGTTGTGCATGCATTATTTGATAATCTTTTGGTGACTGAGATATGTTTTGAGGCAACTTGGTTTGTTTTTCTTGATGTGCAGAGCTTGCATTCACTATGAGGGTAACCAATAAGTGTGATGTATATAGCTTTGGAGTGGTGGCACTGGAAGTTATGATGGGGAGGCACCCAGGGGATATGCTAGAATCCCAGCTATTAGAATCATCAAAATCAATGAAGGACAATGCAGAATTTCTTTTGAAAGATTTGTTGGACCAAAAGCTGGAGCCTCCAAGCGATGAATTGGCAAAGGCAGTGGTGCTTGTGATGAGTTTAGCCTTGGCTTGTATATGTACGCGTCCCGGGTCTCGACCTACAATGCTTTATGTGGCACAAAAGCTATCAGCTTAGACCATGCCTTGCCTTCCCGAACCATTTGGTATGTTGACCATCAACAGGCTAATGGGGGCTACAAAAATAGAAGAGAAGTGTGAAACTAGTAGGAGTTTTTCTATGTTTTTTAAGAGGGACTTCAAAAACTTGGGTTTCATTTTTGAGATTGACATGGAGTGGGCAATAAATTAAACTGTTTGCAAATTTCAACGTTTTTTGAGATTGAGATTAAGCTATTAAGTTTTTTTATTTTCTTATTTACAGCAATTGTGGAGGGGGACCACTTTTCCCGGGATTCGAACTGGTGACGGGGGGAGGTACCTTACCACTGAAGTAAACCTCTCGGTTTAAGCTCTTAAGTTTATATCATCAAAGGTGGCTTATATTTATGTTGGGTTCATTTTTACACTTGATTTATCATGTTATTCACCCAATATTTTGAGTTAGTTCTTGACATTTCATAGAATTTACTTCCTTTTTGTGTTTTTCATAGATTTTACATTGATTGGTATGAATGTGAGCTAAAAGTGCATTATTGAATATAAATTCTGGTTTTGCTCATTTTCGTAGGTCAACTTCTTGGCTTTGGATCACCTTGTTCTGTTACTCGGATGTGGTAAAGTTCTTCATGAAACTTGTTCCAATGGGTGTCGACTACAATATATCCGAAATTTAGCTCCATTGAATAAGTATAACCTCCCCAACCGATCCAGTATTGATATACCAACTCTGAAAGTCTATTTTGGGTCACTTTTACCCCCCTTTGGTATCATCTCCGTTTCTAATTGTTACCATACCTCTTGGTAACAATGAATTACATTGTAGAGATTTGATTTCAGATTGGTAATAAATTAGAATCTCTCTTTGTATTAAAACCAAAATGAAATGATGAAAGTGGAGACAAGTGGAGTATGTGCCAAAGACTTTGGGTAAAAGGTGGAGTTTAATATTAAAGAATGAGTTGGCAAGAGAGAGAAGGCAGCCAAGCAAGGGGAAAGGGATCAGCTGGCCAAGGGAGAGACTAGCCACTTTGCAATTTATGAAACAAGTGAAAGAAAGGAGAGCAAGGAGCAGCAGCAACCAAAACGAGAAGAAACCGTTCCACCATTGAAAGCTTTTGTGCTTTTACCTTCACAAAATTTGTAACTTCTTTCTAGTTTTATTTCAAGTCGTATTTACTATGAACATGAGGAACTAAACTCCATAGTTAGGGCTTAAGTTGAAGCTCTAAACAATGATTACTCTATTGTTTTGATGTTTGAGTTATTGAATTTCTAGATGTTGTTGATGAATTCCTTTTCACTAAATTGATCATATGCTATGTGTTTGCTTCCTTTGATTGATCACCTTAGGTTGTATGTATCTAACTAAAGTTGAGAGGTTGTGTAAGATACCCAAGAACAAAATTTCTAATTAGCAACAAATGATTGAATCATTTCTAAGTGAGCATCATGTGAATTGGTTTCTTGAATGACTAATGTAAATACCATAATATTAGAATTCTTATGATATTCATATTCTCTTCAATCTTAATGGATTTTTCATATGATTAAATCAAAGTACGAAATGCACCTAGATTGATTTTATGGAAAGCACGAGTATTGTAGCACTAAATACGCACTTTACTTATTTGAGTTAGAATCATGCATCTTGAGCTACTAAACCCTGTCTTGATTGCGAATTAACATCCTTAGCAATGCATCTAGAGTTCATAACTTGAGTATCCATGGACACGAGTAGGATTGTTTAGGGTGGATTCCGAAAACCCTAGTGTTTGTCACATATTAAATCACACTTTGATAATCACATTTGTTATTCTTGTTAAAATTAGTTACATTTAAGCATTAGAATTAGGTTACTTGAATCAACCCCCCTGGTTTGTGTTTTTTTATATTTAAAACTTTGAGTGTTCTTTCCACTGAATTCTGCTTACTTTTGTATCTATTTTTCGACATTTGGTCCAAGCTAGGTTCTTTATTTTTTCATGCTGAATCCAACCAAATAAAGAATATAAAATTTGGATTAATGATTGGAAAGTTATAGGGCAAAAACGGGACAGAGGTCGAAACTGGAAAATAGAGGAAGTTCATAAAATATTCGTCTTTGACTTAAAACAAGATAAAGTGGTGATACCTTAGTGATACAGCAGTGATATAGTGGTGATACATGAGTGATACAAAATGCTGATTGTGTTTATCTTTGATTTTTGTTTTTGTTTTGTTTCATTTCATTTGCTTTTCTTTACTCATTTCTAGTATCTGATTTGTATTTTACCTTTGTGTTGTGTTAAATAAGTGTTCTTTACGTATTCAAACTAGACCTTTGTATAAGCCTCCAATTCCTCGTGGGAACGATCCCGTATTTACAAATCTATACTCCAATAGATTAGTACACTTGGGGGTATTTTTAATTGGATGATTAGCACATTAATTTGTGCCAATTATTAATACAACAATTTATATGGATGTTGCACACCGTAAGACTATACAATTGTATATATATATTTTTAAAGTAGTTCAGCTTTATATTGATATGATTTATTCCTGACTTTTGTCCAAATATTTCATTACTTAGGCATCTTGGAAATGTTGTAGCTTACTAGCTAATCAATTAATTGTACATATAATCATGGGTGCTTGAATTCATAAGAAAATATTATTGCTGGGTACATAATCATAGGGACTAGACTTTATATTCCGTCCGGACAAATGGCTGGGGCCAAGGGAAGGGAAGATTAGACCAGGCCAGTCAAGTGGAGGTAACCAAGCACACAACTTTTGTTACCATGTATGTTAACATTAACATCTGCACCGTCCCGGGTTTTGACCTACAATGGTTTATGTGGAACAAAAGCTATCAGCTTAGACCATGCCTCGCCTTCCTGAACCATTTGGTATGTTGACCATCAACAGGCTAATGGGGATACAAAAATAGAAGAAAATGTGAAACTAGTTGGAAAGAGTATTCTATGTCTTGAATAGCAGTTAAAGATTTTCCTTTTATCAATATAAGAACCTTTTTTCTTGTACTACTAGATTTTCCTTTTAACAATGCTTAAATTGCAACTTTCCCATCACCTAGACAATAACATGTTGAAGGAAAATGCACTTATGATATTATGATATAACATGGCAGTCGTTCACACGTACGTAATTGGAGTACCAGGTTATGGTTAGAAATTCTAAAACGTGGGATTGGAGTTTTTTTCTGTCTATATGTAAAGAAAGAAACTAATGTGAAACTGAGAATGAAGATCAACGGATGGTCCTACGTACTAATAACAGCCAACGTTGTGTGCGTGTGAATATTCTTGCTCTTTTCACGATTTTGGATCCTAGAGTAAGGCCAGACTTGGACAAATGAATAACCCTCAGAGTCAGAGGTAGGAAAATTACAAGTCTTGACTCCAGATTTGGATCTTTCAGGGCTAATTCCTATAACTCCATTAATCCCATTTCCAACAACTGTTAGTTGAAAAAGTTCACATGGACTTTTCTTCAGCGTGAAGGATTTGTAGACCAAAGGCTGGAGGCTCCAAGCAATGAATTGGCAAAGGCAGTGGTGGTTGTGATGAATTTAGCCTTGGCTTGTATACGTACGCGTCCTGGGTCTCGACCTACATTGCTTTATATAGCACAAAAGCTATCAGCTCATAGTCTGCCTTCCCTTCCTGCACCATTTGGCATGTTAACCATCAACAAGTTGATGGGGATATAAAACTAGTTGGAAAGTTTTCTGTGTGTAAGAGAAACTTGATCTGCACGGTTGATATATTTTGTTTGCAAATTCCTACCCCTCACATCATTTCATTATACCATGGATTAACATTAACATCTGCACCGTCCATTCTCGTAGTACTAGTTTTGAGTAGCATGTTGGTCCAATAATGCTTAAATTACAAATTTCCTTTCACCTACCTAGGCCACAACATGTTCAAAGAGAATGTAAAGACAGTAATTCGCACGTGCGTAAATGATATAATGCAATAATGGTAAATTATGTTTATAGACTCTATAAAACTGAAAATGAAGAAAACTCAAGGTGCTACGTGTCTAGTCGTCCTCTAAGTATTAATAGAACTTAACATAGGGGCTAGACTTTATATTTTTCTGTTTCCCTTTCTCATTTTTCTGTTTTTGTTAAATGAAATTTCTAACTTAACATAGGGGCTAGACTTTATATTATCTCCGGACAAATGGCTGGGGCCAAGGGAAAACTAGACCACGCCAGTCAACTCGAGTATAAGTAACATAAAATACTTATCTTTTGGGATGTGGAAGTTGGTCTCCATTGATACTTGAGTAGAATAATAGTTTTAGGTTGAGGCGTGTAGTCACTATCTTTAAGAGTAGATTTCAACCCTCGGAGACAATGTCTCGGTGTAGCAAGGTTGTATACCACCCTACCCTCCAAGATACAACAACCTACCCTCATAAGCGTACACTCGTAATACTTGGGTTGGATGAGCAACTCGAATCTTTCCTTGATAAAAGAAAACAAATTGGAACACAAACTCAAGAATGTGGAGGATAAAATAATGAAGAAAGGTGCTAAAAATCTCTCTCCAACGTTTTTCTTTTTTATGTATATATAAGCTTATTGACTCCAGTGAATGGGTTATTAACCAAGCAATTAGACCACATTTGCACGTTAAGAACAAAATTGAAGGCTATTGCTCAAATAGTAAAATCTGATCCCAGCTAAGCAATTAACTCGTGCAATAAAGCTTTGGAATCAAAACCTTCAACCACTATTGTAAAACCAAAGGCATTTAACTTATTTAAATGATAAAATAAATTGATACAAAAAGTTAATGCAAATAATCTCCCAATTAAGACCACAAAGGAGATATCAAAACTGACAACAAATTAATGTCCAATTTATTCAAAACCAATACGAAAGAAGTTTATAATTTTCATAAAATATAATTAAATCAAACATTTAAAATTTCACTTTCAATATAAATTAGATAAATGAATTTTGTATTTTGAAATACTCACAAAAATTCCAAGGATATTGCAAGAAGAAGCATGATTAAATACGACGAACACACGAAGGTTTACATCATGATTATGGATATAGAACTATCTATTTCCCTTTTTTATTTTTCATTTTTTTGGTTTTCTGTTTTTTGTTAAATCAAATTTCTAACTTAATATAAGGGCTAGACTTTATATTATGTCCGGACAAATGGCTGGGGCCAGTGAAGTCGCCAGTGAAGTCGAGGGAAACACTGGAACCATACACTTTTGGGTTGAGTTATTAATTGCATTGATTACTCAATTATGAAATGAACCATAAGTCTATGAAAGATGTATTTATTCCATAAGTCTATGACAGATGAACCACATCATCCACCTATTTTAATATATAAATTAATAACACTGACATGATAATAAAACACTTAATAAAAAAAAAAAAAAAAAAAAAAAAAAAAAAAAAATCCAAATCCCCAAAGTGTTTCACTAGCACACCCTAAGAGATACAAAGTTTTGAACTTGCTATTTAGGACTTCAAGGTCTTCTTTTCATCAAATTTACAAATTTTTTTTTCTTGTAGTACTTGTTTATGAATACCATGTTGGTCCAATAATGCTTAAATTACAAATTTCCTTTCACCTAGGCAACAACATGTTTTAATGAAATGTAATTATTATATTGTGATTTTATATACGATAGTCCTTCAGATGCACATAAATGAAAATACCATATAGAAACTCTATAATGTGGGGTGGTATTTTGTGTGTGTGTGTGTAGGGCCTCAACTTTTATTCAGGGCGCGACTTCAAAATCCCCTTGTGTTAAAGGTTTGTCCGATGTCAACACCAACATTCAATATCCCAACTACTTTCCCAACCACAAACTGAAATGATAAATACCCTAAACCCTATGCTCAGATATTCAATTTTGCAAAAAATAATGCATCAAACTAACTCAACCAAAATAATTGCATCGAATTAATGATGTTTCAGGAATATTGATACAAAATAAATTAGGTGTTAAAAAATATTTAATATCTGAATATGATCTATGATGACAAAGACACATAGTCACAATCATGATGATTATTCAAAATGTGTAGCATCCCTGACCCAATTTAATCGATTTAATTCAATTCAATTCTTTTGTGAAATTTCAATTTTGTCTTTGAGAGTAAGGGTACTTTGGTCACTTTAAGAAAAAAAACATTTATTGTATGGCATTACGTAATTGTGTAAGTTTTCGTTAGCTTATGTGAGGCCCTAATTTAAGGTTCGAACCGGGCCTTCAAAATCTCAAGACCGGCCTTGTGTGTGTAGAGAAACAAATGACTGGGGCCAAGGGAAGGGAAGACTAGACCAGGCCAGTCAAGTGGAGGAAACCTTACAACCACACAACTTTTGATTATGAAACGAACCATGGTCAACAGACTCAACACCATGGAAGGAGTTGAGAAGCCGCCTCCGTTTCTTCTTGTTGTCCTCCATATTTTCATGATAAGTACAACCAAATGTTTCTTCGATGCTAGTAATAATATCCCTACTCATCTCATCAATATTCTTTTCGGATTATTTGTAACACGTGTGAATTGAATTTGATGATGAGACTGAGTGCACTTCACATGTGGAAAACTCGATTGATAATTTGATGATGAGACTAAGTTCTGTTTTTTTATATTTATTTATTTTTTAAATGTAGTTCAATTTTATTCTAAAACGTGGGATTGGGGTTTTTTCTTTGTCTATGTAAAGAAAGAAACTAATGTGAAACTGAGAATGAAGGTTCAATTCAATGTAGTGGCCAACATTGTGCGTGTGAAGGTTCATAATAGACCTTAACATAGGGGCTAGACTTTATATTTTTCTGTTTCCCTTTTTTTTATTTTTCTGTTTTTTGGTTTTCTGTTTTTTGTTAAATCAAATTTCTAACTTAACATAGGGCCTAGACTTTATATTATGTCCAGACAAATGGCATTAATTATGAAATGTCATCATCAGTCAACAACTATTAGTTCAAAAAACTAAATTTTCTTCTTAACTTAAATTAAAATAAAGCTTTCGACCATAAATAAATTAATAAAAATAATGCAAATTACAAGTTAATTTTAAGAACGAAAATCATAACAATAACAATCAACCTTCTATAAAGCTTGGAACATAACATTAACTCCTCAAACCACCATGGAAGGAGGACTTTTCTCTGCTCACAAGCCTACTTTTCTTCTTCTTCTCCTTCATATTTTCCTGCTTGCTTTGCTTCCATTCAAGGCCATTTCATCCCCAAAAACACAGGCAGAAGCTTTGGTACGTTGGAAGAACACCTTTTATGATGCACCACCTTCTCTCACTTTATGGTCCCTCACTAACCTCAACGATCTTTGCAACTCATGGGCTGCCATTGTTTGTGACCAGAGCAGCAAACAAGTTTCCCAAATTGACCTTTCCAACTTCAACATCGCTGCAACACTAGCCCATTTCAACTTCACCCCATTTCTCAATCTCACCCAATTCAACCTATCTGGCAACTATTTCACAGGGCCTGTGCCATCTGCCATTGGCAAACTCTCCAAGCTCACAACTTTGGACTTGGCTTGGAATTCCCTTGAAGGGCCAATTCCATCCTCCATAGGCCAACTCAGGGAGCTTAAATACCTTGATCTTAGAGAGAATTCCTTAAATTCTTCAATCCCGTCTGAGCTTGGTCTTTGTACCAAACTCACCTACTTGGCCCTGTCTTCCAATCACCTTGAAGGGAAAATTCCGCCTTCTATAGGCCAACTCAGAGAGCTCCAGCACCTTGATCTTAGTAATAATTTTTTAAATTCTTCAATCCCTTCTGAGCTTGGTCTTTGTACCAACCTCACCGACTTGGACCTGACTTCCAATCACCTTGAAGGGAAAATTCCGCCTTCTATAGGCCAACTCAGAGAGCTCCAGCACCTTGATCTTAGTAATAATTTTTTAAATTCTTCAATCCCTTCAGAGCTTGGTTTTTGTACCAGCCTCACCTACTTGAACCTGACTTCCAATCACCTTGAAGGGAAAATTCCACCTTCTATAGGCCAACTCAGAGGGCTTCTGTACCTTGATCTTAGTAACAATTCCTTAAATTCTTCAATCCCTTCTGAGCTTGGTTTTTGTCCCAGCCTCACCTACTTGACCCTGGCTTCCAATAAACTCAATGGGGAACTGCCTCTGTCCTTGTCCAATCTGACCAACATCATCGATCTGAGTTTATTTGCTAATCGGTTTACCGGTCCACTCTTGCCTTCTCTGCTCTCCAATTGGACCGAAGTGGTCTCTTTGCAACTTCAACACAACAGCTTTAGTGGGAATATTCCACCAGAAATTGGACTGTTGAGAAAACTCGATGTGCTTTATCTGAATGATAATAAGTTCTCTGCCTCAATTCCGTCAGATATAGGAAGATTATCAGATTTGACAAGCTTGGATCTTTCGAGAAACCACCTCTCTGGGTCAATTCCTCCAACACTATGGAACCTTCCACATATTCAGAGCGTAAATCTTTCCAACAACAATCTCAATGGCCTATTCCCGCTAGATATTTGCTTCCTATACCAGGAGAATTTGGATTTGTCTAATAACAATTTCACACAGGAAATCCAAAAAGCCCTCGACAAAACTAGTACTTTTGTTGGAAACTCTGACTTGTGTAGAGATGCGCGCAATTCCAAAAAAAATAACAACGAAGTTATAATTGGTGTCCTTGTACCTGTTTGTGGTTTATCAGTGGTTGCAACTACAATTGCTCTGATTCTTATGTTCCATAAGAAAACCAAGCGTGTTCTTAAGAAAATCAATAGTGCTCAAAACTTTGAGAATTTTGAGTCAATGATATTGCAAGAAGAAGTAAAATTTACGTTTGAGGAAGTTGTAAAGGCCGTAGACGATTTTCATGAAAAGTACTGTATTGGAAAAGGAGGATTTGGAAGAGTATACAAGGCAGAGTTGCTATCAGGTCAAGTTGTCGCTGTTAAGAGGCTTAACATGTCAGACTCTAACGACATTCCAGCAATCAATCTCCAAAGTTTTGAGAATGAGATCCGAACTCTGACAAATATCCGGCATAGGAACATCATTCGGCTATATGGGTTCTGTTCAAGGAGGGGATGCATCTTCTTGCTCTATGAATATTTAGAGAGAGGCAGCCTGGGAAAGGCATTGTATGGGGTTGATGGGGTAATTGAACTTGGATGGGCTACAAGGGTCAAAGTTGTGAAAGGATTAGCTCATGCACTTTCTTACTTGCACCACGACTGCTCTCCACCAATTGTGCACCGTGATGTAACTGTCAACAATGTGTTGCTCGAGTCAGATTTCGAAGCCCGACTTTCTGATTTTGGAACAGCAAGACTGATTAGTGCCAATTCATCCAACTGGACCCATATTGTTGGCTCATTTGGCTACATGGCACCAGGTAACATACCAATTTAACGTTGTGCATTTTCGGATCATATTTAGGTGACTGAGATATGCTCTAAGGATATTTGGTTTTGTTTTTCTCTTCATGTGCAGAGCTTGCATTGACAATGCGAGTCACGGATAAGTGTGATGTGTATAGGTTTGGAGTGGTGGCGCTGGAAGTTATGATGGGAAGGCACCCAGGGGATCTGCTAGAATCCCAGCTATCAGAATCATCAAAATCAATGAAGGAGGACAATGCAGAGTTGTTTTGAAGGATTTGTTAGACCAAAGGCTAGAGGCTCCAAGAAATGAATTGGCAAAGGCAGTGGTGCTTGTGATGAGTTTAGCCTTGACTTGTATACGTGCGCGTCCCGGGTCTCGACCTACAATGCTTTATGTAGCACAAAAACTATTAGCTCAAAGTCTGCCTTCCCTTCCTTTACCATTTGGCATGCTTGTGTGTAAGAGAAATTCTTATACCGTGTATGTTAACATTAATATCTGCACCATTCATGCTTAAAAAATAAAAATCTACACACAATCTTATTCATTTTTTTTTTTGTTTTGTTGTGGTTAGTATGTATATGGGTGAGATTTTTTTTTATTTATTATTTTTTTTGTGGTTATGAAATATGAGTAGATTTTTTTTATTTAAAATTTTTAATAATTTTAATAATTAATGATTTTCTATAAAAACAAATTTTATTAATTTAAAATAAAATTAATAACCAGACTTTTAATGATTTCCTCATTTTCTTAACCAGACTTTTAATGGTTATCTAAATATCTTGCTCAATTTTCTTCAAAAAAAATATCTTTGGTTAATTTGGTAATCTGGGATATGAGATTTGGACTTAGGCCCAATAAACAACGGGTGTTCCACTAGCCCATAGAAGATGCTTGCCAACGGATCTATTTGGCGGGAAGCAACGGGTCACGCGAGAGTGCCAGCTCACCTTTCCCGCCAGAGACCCCGCTAAATACCAAAAAACCCCAAATGGCCATTGCATATTCTTCTTCTTCTCCTCTGTGAGACTGTTAACCCTCAAAATCTCACCTTACGATTGATTCCATATCTCGTATTTCTATTTGATCTCTGCAATGAGTTCCTTATTAGGAATCTTCAAATCCCAGACTCCCAGAAGCCGAGAAAAGAAAGCCCTAAACCCAAAGCCCCAAATCTTAGGTAATGAGGCACTTGTTTGTCCCACATTGAAATGTTAAGGGACATAGCCTAAATTTATAAGGAGTTGAGCTACTCCCCTCATTGCCAATTGGTTTTGGGGTGGAACCTCAACTTCCTTCATGGTATCAGAGCAAGGTTTCACGTGTATGGCCAAGTGCCTGTGACTCCAACCAAAGGCATAGACCCCATAGAAAATGATGGTAGTTTGCCCACACAAAGTGATAGCATTTAGTCGACTCCAGCAAAGCTTGCTTCAACTCCAGCTAGGTTGATGGCTGACACGCCTGCATTGCACCGACCAAAGCGATGCTATATGAGCCCAGATGATAATTCTACTAGCTCACCGAACAAGTTGGTTAGGCTTCCTCCACGCTCCAGGTCTTTGAAATTTGACACTCCTGTGAAGAATAAAAATGTTGAGGATGAAGTTCCTGATATGGGTTGTACATCAATCGATAATGACAGATGGTGTACAAGTTGGTTAGGCTTCCTCCACGCTCCATGCTAGAATTTTTGAAGTTTACTTGTACGAGAAGCATATTTAGAAGATGGTGTACAATTTTCCCATTTCATTGGGCATCCATCCATTTCCTTCCTTTTGCTATGAATCTTCTCCCATTAAACCTGTTGTACCAGCTTTCAATTTCTCACTAAAAACAATATCTTAATGGTGAGGAATCTATTTATACTGCTCCTCTCTAGTAAAAAAAAGCCTGCTCTAACTGTGTATGTGTAAAATATTTTACAAGAAAAAGAATTTATATTTTTATAAAGTCAATAGGGTTTTTCTAATTTTCTCCAGCGTGAAGATATCAAATCAAGGAAATTAATTGAAGACAATATTCTTCAACTTCAAGTATGGAAATGAGACTTCTGATATAGATAGACTAGCAATTATAACAAAAATATTGGTATATGTGGGTACCATTTGGCATGCTAACCATCAACAAGCTGATGGTATATGTGGGAATTGGGACTGCACTAAAAAAATTAGTGGAATATCCGAAGGGAAGGAAAATGGAAACATTTTTTTATTTTAGATTTGATTTTAATATTGGAGTCAAATAGATTATGCGTAATGGACAATGAATGAATATGCTCTAATTAGCCCGGGATGTTGTGGCTAAAAGGAGTAGGGTCCTCTAATTTGACAATTTTTAATAAAACATGATTAACACCTGTTAGCATTCACCTTAGTTTTAGGATGCAAAACCTTAATGATGAAGAATGACTTACATAATTTAGAGAACGTTTGGGAGTGTTTTTGGAGATGTCAAAAGTTGTTTTAAATTAGAACAAACACTTATGTCTTTTAAAATAATCTAGGAGTGCTTTGGTGGGATTGAAAAGCACTTGAGTTGGTTTTTCAAGAATCACATAATAGAAGTGTTGCATGGAAGAAACACGGGAAACACTTGGCTCTCATTAATAATACTTTTCAAATGCCGAAAATGCCCCCCCCCACCCTCTCTCTTTTTTTTATAATGAAAAATCCCAAAATTGCCTTTAATAAATAAATAAAAGGGGCTAGACTTTATATTTTTCTGTTTTTTGGTTTTCTGTTTTTTGTTAAATGAAATTTCTAACTTAACATAGGGGCTAGACTTTATATTATGTTGGGACAAATGGCTGGGGGCAAGGGAAAACTAGACCACGCCAGTCAAGTCGAGGAAACACTGGAACCATACACTTCTGGGTTGAGTTATAATTGCATTAATATCTCAATTATGAAATGAACCGTAAGTCTATGACATGTGTATTTATTTGTTAATACTATACCATTAGTCTATGCACATGAATGAAAATACTAGATAGAAACTCTATAATGTGGGGTGGTATTTTGTGTGTGTAACCACACAACTTTTGATTATGAAACGAACCATGGTCAACAGACTCAGCACCATGGAAGGAGTTGAGAAGCCTCCTCCGTTTCTTCTTGTTGTCCTTCATATTTACATGGAAATGTTGTAGCTTACATATAATCATAGGGGCTAGACTTTTGAAACGTAACATAGGGGCTAGACTTTATATTCCGTCCGGACAAATGGTTGGGGCCAAGGGAAGGGAAGACTAGACCATGCCAGTCAAGTGGAGGAAACCAACCACACAACTTTTGTTACCACAAGTTCTGTTTTTTTATATTTATTTATTTTTTAAATGTAGTTCAATTTTATTCTAAAACGCGGGATTGGGGTTTTTTCTTTGTCTATGTAAAGAAAGAAACTAATGTGAAACTGAGAATGAAGGTTCAATTCGTTCATAATAGACCTTCTGTTTTTTGTTAAATCAAATTTCTAACTTAACATAGGGCCTAGACTTTATATTATGTCCAGACAAATGGCATTAATTATGAAATGTCATCATCAGTCAACAACTATTAGTTCAAAAAACTAAATTTTCTTCTTAACTTAAATTAAAATAAAGCTTTCGACCATAAATAAATTAATAAAAATAATGCAAATTACAAGTGAATTTTAAGAACGAAAATCATAACAATAACAATCAACCTTCTATAAAGCTTGGAACATAACATTAACTCCTCAAACCACCATGGAAGGAGGACTTTTCTCTGCTCACAAGCCTACTTTTCTTCTTCTTCTCCTTCATATTTTCCTGCTTGCTTTGCTTCCATTCAAGGCCATTTCATCACCAAAAACACAGGCAGAAGCTTTGCTAACTTGGAAGAAGAACACCTTTTATGATGCACCACCTTTTCTCAGTTCATGGTCCCTCACTAACCTCAACAATCTTTGCAACTGGACTGCCATTGTTTGTGACCAGAGCAGCGAACAAGTTTCCCAAATTGACCTCTCCGACTTCTACATCGATGCAACGCTAACCCATTTCAACTTCGCCCCATTTCTCAATCTCACCCAATTCAACCTATCTGGCAACTATTTCACAGGGCCTGTGCCATCTGCCATTGGCAAACTCTCCAAGCTCACAACTTTGGACTTGGCTTGGAATTCCCTTGAAGGGCCAATTCCATCCTCTATAGGCCAACTCAGGGAGCTTAAATACCTTAATCTTAGAAGGAATTCCTTAAACTCTTTAATCCCTTCTGAGCTTGGTCTTTGTACCAGCCTCACCTACTTGGACTTGGCTTGGAATTCCCTTGAAGGGCCAATTCCATCCTCTATAGGCCAACTCAGGGAGCTTAAATACCTTAATCTTAGAAGGAATTCCTTAAACTCTTTAATCCCTTCTGAGCTTGGTCTTTGTACCAGCCTCACCTACTTGGACTTGGCTTGGAATTCCCTTGAAGGGAAAATTCCATCCTCTATGGGCCAACTCAGGGAGCTTAAATACCTTGATCTTCAAATCAATTTATTAAACTCTTCAATCCCTTCTGAGCTTGGTTTTTGTACCAATCTCACCCACTTGGACCTGACTATCAATCACCTTGAAGGGCCAATTCCATCCTCCATAGGCCAACTCAGGGAGCTTAAATACCTTGATCTTGGAGAGAATTCCTTAAACTCTTCAATCCCTTCTGAGCTTGGTCTTTGTACCAAACTCATCTACTTGGCCCTGTCTTCCAATCACCTTGTGTTCACCCGTTTTGTGTTTACTCCTATGATGGAAGGGCAAAGTTCCCCACTGCCTTGAGAACCATAGACTGGTTGACAAGTCAGCTTTCTTTGGTGTGCGAGCGTGCCACTGCTAGTAATGAACAGTCTAGCAGACTTAGTCTGGAATGGATAACTTGCGCCCCAAGTTACTGATTTCCTAAACAAACGATTGTGAATTTGGGTGAGGAATATCTCCCAAGTAAGTTCTTTTCTTGCCTCAGACTGGTGAGGACTTTAACAATTTATCTCAGTATAAAGAGGTTGTTCTGGCCAGAATAGTTGATGAAATTTAAGCTGTTTTTGGGCGGAAGTGCCTTTTACAAGACTACAAAAATACATGTCGATGCAAAAAAGATAAAGAGATAGCTAGGTCTCCATTTCTGCCTGGATGGGAGGCTCTGTGATGGGCTGGACTGGGAATGTCTGGGCTGGACTGGATCGTAGACAACTACAAATCGATGCCAAAGGTTGATTCTGGCAGAGCTTTAATGTACCTCAAGCTTTTGCGAAGCTTCTGAGTAGGCAGAACTGCGGTTTCTTCAGTCTGAAAGGGCAGAAGTGGCTGTTCTTGAGGACGTTGGTGAGCTAGGGGCCATTCCGTGAATTTGGCTGGGGTTTTCCATACTTGGGGGAGGCTCAAACTCTGCTTGTGTTGGTTTTTGCTGAACCAAATTTGTAACGAGAGAAATCTCGTTTTGAATGACTTGCTTTCTAAGTCTGGATTCGGGGCATTCTGATCTGGGACTGGTTTTTCACTTGAAATTCAAGTGGACTTGTTGGTCGACTCTGAGCTTGTTTATGTGACGGTTTGCCTGTGTAGGACCTTTGTTTGGTTGAGTGATGAAATTTTTTGGTAAGATTGATTGTCCTTTGCCCTGTTCACTCCTTCTTGTATTTATAAGAGATGTCTTCTGGAGTAGGGTAATTCTTTTAATAATGGGCGGCAAATCCTTTCAAAAGATTTTCTTTTTTTTAAAAAAAATGGAAAAGAAAAAGAAAGAAAAAGGTTTCCTCAGTTTTTGGTAGATAGGCTCTCAACAGATAGGCAATCTCTTTCCCTGATTTTTCTTGAAAAGGAACCTAATCTCTTTCCCAATTTCAACTGCCCCTCGTGATATTTTGCCGGTGATGGTTAGTTTTGACTCCTTTTCTGGACAGCTTCCTATTTTCCTGCTTATCCCTCCCTGAGATTGTAACTTGCTTATCTCCTTGGGAGAATTACCTTCTGAAAAGACAGGGAAAAAAATCTCTGAGTATGTATATATATATATCATGTATGTGTGAGAGGGATTTGATCTTTTAGCTTTTCCAGAATCAATCTTGATATTATGAACCCTTCAATTACTTCTCCTGTGACAGTTGCCATTGCTGACTTTTCTTTTTTTCAGAGAGGTCACGTGGGATTGTTCCTACTTCTGGGCTTTCTTCTTTCTTTTATATTGGGTTTTGGGCTGGTCTCCTCTGGCTTTTGGGCTTCCATCTTTCTTTGATTTTTTGCAGCTTCATTCTGGGCCTAAATTTTGCTGGGCTGGGTATGCCAATTAGTGGCCCAAACAATGCCCCCTTAAGTCTGAATCGTTTTGAAACGGTTTTCAGACTTAAATGACATGGCCATTAAATTGGCGCGTGGTAGATTCCTTCATTTATCCCACGTCTGCCACGCTTCCCCACTAAGCTAGTGCTCGTGTGGCGCAGTTCTTCAGTTACTAGCCCTTTATTAGCTTAGTCACTATCAGATTGACGCTTTGTCTTCTCCACGTCGCTGTCATCTCTTTCCCACGTTTTCTGGCTTCTTTAAAAGTCTTTCGAAAACCACTGTTCCTGTTCACCTGAAAACCTAGTATTTTCAAACTTGATTCCTTTCGTGTTTTCGAAGAACTTCCTTTTGCTTGATCCTGCCTTGCCCTTCCTGTGAACCCCCTTTAGAAAAAATAACTTTCCAAGAGATGTCTTCCCCGAAATCCCGTGCTCAGTCTTCCTCTGTTCCAGTTCTTCCAGACTATGTTACTGGGGCTGGAATCGATAGTCATGCGATAGAGGTTAGGAGCAAGCTCCATCCTTTTGCCCAGAAAAACCTGGATGAAAATGTCCTCCATTTATTTGAAAACACCTTGGTGCTGGGGCCTCACTGGTTTGGCCCCGTTCCTCCCGAGATGGCGGAGTTGATGAAGAAGGATGCTGAGGCCCCGCTATGTTTCGAGAGCTCTTCTGCCCTGGCTTCTCATTCTTGGGTCAGCAAGAATTTGAGTCGTTCGTTCCCATCCAGTGAGGTGAGAAATAGTCCAATCAAGTGGGCTGATTGGATTGACAGACTTCTTCCTCGATTTGGGGCTCACTGGAAGCGGGCTGGAATCCATGACGCCATTCTCCTATCCAGGCAATCTATCAACAGGGATGAGAATCTGCTTGCTGCTGCTTTGTGCTTCTGGAACTCTGCCAGTAACACTTTTGATTTCCGTATAGGCCCCATGGCTCCCACTCTGCTGGATATGGCCCAGATTTTTGGTTTTAGGCCTCACGGAAGACCTGTTGATGCCATTGGTGATTATCACAGGAAGAAGGACCAGCAGAAGCTAGCCAAGCCATTCACTATTTCCCCAGCCTTGATCAACCAGAATTGCTCCTTTTCCAACTATCTTAGAAATTTAGTGCTGAGAAGGACAAAGATCAGCAGCATATGTTGTTTCTCCTGTATTGGCTGAACAGGTTTATTCTGCCCAATCGTTCTTCTGCAGTTCTGCTTGAGTACAGACATCTGGCAGAAGCTCTGCATAATCACACTGATGTTGGCCTTGGACCTACAGTTCTGGCCCATCTGTTCAAGAACCTGCATACCGCTACTCTGGAGTATCCGCTGAATCTGTCTGCTCCTGGTGCCTTCTGGATGATTCAGATCTGGCTGCAGGTCTATTTTCCTGAGTTAAGGTATCCAGACATAGTTCTGCCTGAGAACCAAGTTCTGGCTCAACCGTTGCTGTCAGCAGAAGTCCCCAAGCGGTCAATTGGTGAATACCTGATGATGTTCAGGCATTGTACCAAGAGGTCTGCAGCGCAGTGGCAGATGGTGATTAGGAGGACCTATCCTTGGTTTCAGCCTGGACATCGTCTGTTTGAGAAAGAGCCAGAAGAAGAATCCGCCAGAACTGATTTTAGGAAGAAGTTCTTGAGTGTGACCTTACCCAGGGATCTGCCTCATGGAGGGGGAAAGCCTCCAAATTATCATTTGGGGGCGGAAGTCTACCATCCCAACTTCTGTGCAAGGCAGCTTGGCTGTCCTCAGCTCATACCCCTCAAGTCATACAGAAGCTGCAATCGGGGTTCTTCTTGGAGGGATGCAGATGACTTGGAGGTCCATAAAGACGCCAGGTGTGCCGTGAACAAGATTAACAACAGTGCAGATGCCCTTTATCCTTCCTGGGAATTGAACTCCTGCAGTTCTGTGGAGTTTGATGCTTGGTGGAAAGCCAGATTCCGTGATCTGCCTGCTTCTAGCACCGCACTTCAAGTCCTTTTTAAAGGCTGGGACAATTGGAATGTCCATTCAGACGACGAGACTCACAGATTCATGGTGCAGACCATCAAAGACATCAACATGCAAATTATAGAAGGTAATCTCTCTATTCTGTCTGTTGTTGCCTATTCTGTGTTTTAGTGATGATGCTAATCCTTTCTATCTGTACTCAGATCCTTCTCTGACAAAGAATATAGGCAGTCAACCAGCCGAAGCGGAGAGGTGTTTGGTAAGTTGTGTTTTTTTGTCCAGTCTTTGGCTACTCCCTACTGGATTGACCTTTGACTTTTGTCTTCTGCATAGTCAATTCTGTCATTGCTGCTGGAGATCTGGAGTTGCCCTCCGGGGATGGAGAGGAGGAAGAAGGAGAAGAAGAAGAGGGAGATCAGGCAGAACAGACTCCTGTTGAGGCCACTTCTCCCGTCAGAAGGAAAAGAAAAGAAACTGCCCAGTCTGCGGCTCCAGGTATTCTTTGATGATTTCTCCCCTTTTTTTGATTTCTTCATAATCTTGTTCTGTCTTTATTTTTAAGACTTATTCTGTCTGTTTGCAGTTGGAGGTCCCTCTCCTCCTCTTACTAAGTCAAAAAGACTTAGAAAGAAGATTGCAGAAGAATACGTGGCCCCGGAGGGAACTGGGGCAGTTCCTACCACCACTTCCGGCACGGATGATGATCTGAGAGAGGCTTTCGAAGCTGTGGAGCAAGAAAGGGAGCTGGAAGAGCTGGAAAAGGTAGGAGAGGAGCCCCAGGAGAAGGCCAAGTCAGTGGAGGAGGAGGTGAGTCTGTATTTTATATCTGGGAGCATTTGTTCCTGCTGCACCTTGATCTATTCTGTTCTGACTTCCGTGCATTCTGTAGGAGGAAATTCCTGCTGAGGTGATAGCGGAGAGCATTGCCTTGGCTCGGAAGCAGCAGGAAGATATAGGGGCAGGGCTGACCAACTCAGAGGTGGCCCTTTTTGATGATCCAGAGGCAGAACATTCCACTGCCGCTCCAGCAGCTGAGGACCAAGTGGAACAATCCGGATCGGAGCCTGGGGATCAGGCAGAACAAGTGGTTCCTACTCCTGAAATTGTAGCAGGAGTGGCTGCTGTCGTTCCTGGGTTTGTGGTGAGTTCTGTCCTTATTCTGTCGTTTCTCATTTCGTTCTGTCCCTTGGTCCCTTCTGACCCTCGAATCTTTACAGGTGGAAGCACAAAGAACTGCTGGGACTTTGGCGGTGAGGACCACCCCCTTACAGCCTCCGATTGTTGCAGTGAGTGTTTTTTTGCGGTTCTATCTTCTTCTTCTTGTCTCTGCCCTGTTCTTGACCTTATGCTTCCTTCTGCAGATGCCTATTCATTCTCTTGCAGGTTCATCTGCCACGGCTTCTTTTGCTGACCCGGAGCTGGCAGAATTTGAAGCCATGGACCTAGATGCCCAGCTGGATAGGTTGGAAAAACTCAGCTCTCCTGTTGGTAAGACAAAATCCAGGGCAGTGGAAGAAGCAATGGAGAGACTGAAGATCTGGCAGTCTGCTGAATTGGAGCTGGATGAGGATAGAGAGGCCTTTGATCAGTTGATGAAGGATCTGGATTGCTGCATAGACAGAACATGGCCCCAAGACCCATTCTTGAGATGAGTCTTGTCTTGGCAAGGGACGTGCTCAACCTTCACGATCGTTATGAAGACCTGAAGCCTACCTTCGAAACCTCTGAGTTCTGCAAGGCCACTCATGAAGCCAACTTGGCTGATTTTGCAAAGCAGAAGGCAGAACTGGACCAGATGGTTGCGGGGTATAAAGAAGCCAAAGCTGCTGGGGATAAATTGGAAAAAGAGATTGCAGAACTTCAAAAGCAGCTGGCAGAGCGTCGGGAAGTGCAGCACAGGCTCGGGGCTGGATTGAGTTCTAAGACCAAGGCTACTTTCCTTGTGCAGAACATGGTTGCAGCTTCTAGGCCTGCCCTGGAGATTGCAGAAGCTTCAATTCATCAGGGTGTGCTGCTCCAAAAGGAACTTTCTACCAAGAAGACTAACCTGCAGGAGACTCTTAGAAAACTAGGATTTTAATTTCGTTATTTTTCGCTTTTCTGAACAGCTTGCCGTGGGGAAGGCCCCATGGTTTATTTATTTTTAAATAAAGTTCATTTTATTTCTATGGATGGATCGAATGGAAAACAGAAGTAGGAATACAACAAAGGGATAGACTTAAGGTAAAAACAAGGGTAACTTTCAAAAGATTTTTAGTTAACTCCTGTGTCTATCCCCGGGTCTGTTTGTACAGCCTGTGAATCCCACATGGTTGGATAAAACTTTTTTAACCATTTGCCATTGATCGGGGCCGTATGAACTTCTCCATCCCTATCCTGCAACCTATATGCCCCCATTCCAAGGATCTGGCTGATTATGAAAGGACCTTCCCATGTAGGTGACCATTTTCCATAACCAGCCACATGTGTTCCAAGGGGCAGAACTGCTTTCCAGACTATCTCCCCTTCTTCAAAACTCTTGTTCCTGACTCTTTTGTTGTAGGCCCTTGATACAGCCTGTTTTCCTGCCAGGAGTTTGTTGAGAGTGTCAATTCTGGCTGCATCCAACCCTTCCAGTTCCAGCAGCATGGCCTGGGAGTAGTCTTCTCCTACTAAGTCATGTTGGTGAGCAATTCTGAGGGACTGAACAGCTATCTCCATAGGCAGAATTGCATCATGACCGTAGGTTAACGCGTAGGGAGTCATGCCAGTCGCTTCTCTCTTTGAAGTCCTATATGCCCACAGAGTTTCTGACAGCTTCTCATGCCACTGTTTTGGATTCTTTTCAAGCATTTTTCTGATAATGTTGATGATTACTTTGTTGCTTGATTCCGCCTGTCCATTGGCTTGGGCATAATAAGGAGTGGATTGGAGCAGTCTGAATTTGAATGCCTCTGCCATGTCCAGCATTTCTCTAGATATGAAAGATGATCCTCTATCAGTTGTGATTGATTCTGGGATGCCAAATCTTTGGATAATCTGTTCTTCTATGAAAATGATGATCTCTTGAGATGTAGTGGATTTAACAGCCTTGGCCTCCACCCACTTGGTGAAGTAGTCTGTGGCAACAATGATAAAGCAGTGCTGCTGGCTGCTGGCTGGATAGATCTTGCCAATAAGATCCATTGCCCATCCTCTAAAGGGCCATGGTTTTACCACTGGATTCATGGGAACTGATGGAGCCTGCTGGACTGGGCCGTGTCTTTGACAAGATTCACACCCCTTGGAATAGTTAATGCAATCTTTCATCATGGTTGGCCAGAAGTAGCCATATCTCCTAATTAACCAGCACATTTTTCTTCCACCTTGATGTGCTCCACAGATTCCTTCATGGGTTTCCCCCATAACTTTCATGTATTCTTTCTTCCCGAGGCACCTTAAAAGCACCTCATCCTTACTCTTTCGGACCAAATCTTCATTCCACATAAGGTAGTTTAAAGCCATGATTCTGACTTTCTTCTCAGAGGGCAAAGTTGGATATCGCAGATAGGTCATGATAGGATTCCTCCAATCATCTTCAGCGATTGTGGCAGAGTTGACGTCTATCTCCATTCCCCTGGCCAGAACCGATGGTAAACTTTTCTTTCCTATCTTGATGATTCTTTGTACACAATCTTCGGGTATTTGTATGCCTGTTGCCACCTGGGCCAATTCATTGGCTGCAAAATTCTCTTCTCTTGGGATATGTTCCCAAGTGGCCTCTCTGAATTCTGTCAGAAGATTTCTAGCTGCCACCAAGTAGACAGCCAGAGAAGGGCTTAGGCACTTGTATTCCCCAGCAATTTGCTTTAGAACCAGCATGGAGTCTCCCAGGATTTCCACAGACTGGATTCCTAATTCTACCAGTATTTCCAAGCCAATGATTAAGGCTTCATATTCTGCCCTATTGTTGGTGCATTGGAAATCTAATTGGAAAGAGTAGCAGTGTCTGATTCCGAGTGGCTCTTCCAAAACAATTCCTGCCCCGGAAGTTATATCAGTTTTTGACCCATCAAAGTATAGCTTCCAAGGTGTAAGATGAACTGAGTAGATAGGATTGTTGAGGCAGGTGTGAGCTCTGGTTAATAGATCTGCATTTGCTATGTCTAAAGAGTCCATATTTTCAATCTCCTCTCCGGGATGATCTGCTAGGAAGTCTGCCACAGCTTGTCCTTTGACGGCTTTCTGAGGAACGTATCTGAAGGCAAATTCTGTCAAGGCCAAGGTCCATTTTCCAATTCTGCCTCTCAGCATTGGTCTTGTCAGCATGTATTTGATCAGATCTGTTTTGGCAATGATATAGATTGTGTGTGGCAGCATGTAATGTCTGAGCTTTACAGCAGTGAAGTACAAGGCTAGGCAAAGTCTCTCAATTGCAGAATATTTCCTTTCCACTTCTGTCAGAGTTCTGCTTAGGTAGTAAACCGCCTGTTCCTTTCCTTCCTTGTTATCCTGAACCAATAAACTTCCAATGGATACTTCTGATGCGGATATATAGAGCTTGAGTGGCCTGCCTCTCTTTGGTGGGGACAGAACTGGTGGATTTGAGAGGTAATGCTTGATTTCCTCAAAAGCTTGCTGGTGTTGTTCTTCCCACTTAAAGGTTTGTTCCTGTTTCAACCTTAACAGAGAAGAGAAAGGCTGGATCTTTCCTGCAGAATTGGATATAAATCTCCTTAAAAAATTAATTTTTCCTAAGAGACTTTGCAATTCTTTCTTGTTCCTAGGCGGTAAAGCTTCTATGATGGATTTTGCTTTGTTCTTGTCGATCTCTATGCCTCTTTGGTGGACCAAAAATCCTAGGAAATTTCCCGCTTGAACTCCAAAAACGCACTTCTTTGGGTTCATTTTTAGTTTATGTTGCCTCATTCTGAGGAATGCTCTTCTTAGATTTGTCATGTGGTTTCCCTCCTCTGGTGATTTGATCACAACATCATCAATATACACTTCCAAGGAATGCCCTATCATATCGTGGAAAACAGAATTCATTGCCCTTTGATAGGTAGCCCCTGCATTTCTCAAGCCAAAAGGCATTACAGTATATTCAAAAGCACCTATATGCCCTGGACACATGAAGGCTGTCTTGTGGATGTCTTCTTCTGCCATCATGATCTGATTGTAACCTGCGTTGCCATCCATAAAAGATAGCATCTGGTTGTGGGCAGCTCCATCTACTAGCATGTCTGCCATTGGCATAGGGTATTCATCCTTGGGAGAGGCTTCATTCAGGTTTCTGTAATCCACGCAGATTCTGACTGCCCCAGTTTTCCTTTTTAGAACTGGTACAATGTTAGCTAGCCAATCAGCATAGATGGCAGGCCTGATGAATCCTGCTTTGAGCAGCCTTTCTATTTCTTCTTTGACTTTCAGTTCTGTGTCCATGGACATTCTTCTTCTGGCCTGTTTGACTGGAAGGTATCCCTCTTTGATTGGTAGCTTGTGTTCTACCAATTCCCTGTCTAATCCTGGCATCTCGTGATAATGCCAAGCAAAACAGTCTTTGAACTCTTGTAGAAGTGTAACGAGTTCATTCTTAAGTGGTTCTTTCAATAGTGCGCTGATGAAGGTTGGCCTTGGATCCTCCTCTGTTCCCAAATTTATTTCCTGCAAAGGATCTTCTACTTCCGGCAGAGAGTCATCCAATGCGGCTGGTGCGAAATCTAGCACTTCCTCCTGTAGTTCTTCTTCCTCCTGGCTTTCCGTACTTTCATGAGTGAATTCTGCCATATTGATGGCTGGATTCTGTGCAAACAACCTTCTTTCCTCCCAGTATATCAACAATCTTTTTGTAATGGACCGGATTGTTGCAGCTCGATCCTTTTCTTGTTGATTGGGACTAAACATCAGTGCTTTGGAAATTTAGGACAAAAGGTCTGTTCCAATCCTCCAAAGAATTGGTTAGACCTTCTTCAATGAGTCTCTGGGCCGTGACACCATGGGGGCGGCCGTTCTGGTTGACTCCAAAGAAAGTGAAAGGACCAAGGTCATCATGATAGTACCTTGCCTCACAACACATGGCAGAAGGTAGGAATGGCCGTGGATCGGCCTCTACTATCTCCATGTAGCCATCTTCGTTCCATAAAGCTAACTGTTGATGAAGAGTGGAAGGAACACACAGACTCTGATGAATCCAATCTCTGCCAAGCAATGCATTGTAAGTGGTGGAAGTAGTATCTACCACAAAGAATGCAACCTTCAGCTTCTTGCTTCCTACCAAGACATCTACATCCAGAATCCCAAGGGTTTTGGTGATGCCCCCTGCGAAGTTGGTGACGGTCAGGCGGGTTGGGATTAGATCCTTCTCTGTTCTGCCCATTTTGCTCAGCATTCTGTGAGGCAGAAGGTTGATGGCTGCACCTCCATCTACCATGGTTTTGGGGATCGGAACACCCCCAAAGTTTGCTGTTATGAACAGGGGTCTGAGGTGGTTTGCCATTTCTTTGGTTGGTTTGGAGAAGCAAAGGGGACCTGTCGTCAGCTTGTGGGTTGCTCCTTCTATCCTGGGATTGCCTGTTTGCTGTTCTGGCATTTCTTCCGTTTCTGCCAACCTGCATTCAAAACTTTCTTGGGAAAATACGTCTCCATCCAGAGTGCTCTTCTGTCCTTCTACCGCCCAGAACTTTTCTGGCAGAATGAACACCATATTGATGCCTAGGTCAACACGTAACAAGTCCTCCAGTTCTGCACCAAAGGCCTCAGTTTCTGCATCCAATTCTCCGTCATATTCCATCTGTTCTCCATCATATTTCTCCGTCCATTCTCCCAGTTCTTCTGTCCCGAGGAGAGTATTCTGGTCATCTGTGGATGGCTCATAATCCAGCTGCTCCTCTTCATCTTCCTCAACCCAGTCTTCTTGTCCTTCTCCTGAAACAGGATCGGTTCTTTCCTCTAGTTGGGGAGTTCCAAGTAGACCTCCTGAGGCGGGGGCAGGATGGACAGAAGGTTTCTCTGAGGATTCTGCTTTTGTCAACTTCTGTAGTTGAGAGACTGCTTGTTCTGTCTGGGGAAATAATTCTGGTTCTTTCCCTTTTCTGGCAGAATTGGCATTTGGAAGCACCTGTGCGTCTTTCTCGTTATTGAGGAATGTGCAGTACTGTCTCTGAACCCTCCTCCTCTGGGTTCTTGTCAGCTCCATGGTTGGTCTGCCATTCTTCCCGATAGAGTACCACCTGCCTTCAATGATGGCCGCCAAAGGTTTGTTACTTCCGGGCACTTTTATTGATATTTCCTCTTTGGGCTGCTTAGTCACCCTCCTGTTGGATTGGACAGGCCTAGGGTAGTTTCTCTGTCTGGTCCTATCATGGGGCGTGGTTCCGATCCGGTCAAAAACACTTGGAATGGGCAGCTCCTGTTTTTCCAGGACTACTTCCAACTCAGCCTCACAATTGCACCTGCTGCAAAGCACTATTCCAGCTGAAATGGTTGCTTTTGGTCTTTCCATAGTCTCCTTTGAAACTATTCTGCTTCCACTGGAGCCAGCCTGCATGACTGGTCTGTCCTTCTTCCGTTCTGGCCAATTTAGGTTGACCATGTTAACTTGTGGCTGGGGAAAAGGATCTGTGGTGACAGATGGAGGTTTCTCTGCTAGCTTCAGCCTTCCTGCTGTTATTCCTTCCTGTATGACATCTCTGAAAACAACACAACTATTGGTAGAATGATTCCAAGAATTGTGCCATCTGCAATACTGTCTGCCCTTGAGTTCTTCTGGCTTGGGCATCCTGTGAGGTGTCTCTATTGCTTTCTGTAGCAACATCTCATCGAACAAGGCATCTACTTTGGTCAGATCGAAGGAATACACTTTGTTCTGCATGGGTTTATTTGGAACAAACCCTCCTGTGAATGGTGGCGGCTTCTGATCCCTTGGAGGTTTTGTAAGAGTTTTACAACTGATGGGGTGCTTTAATTTTGCCATTTCCGCAACTGCAACCTCTCTCTCCTCTGATTCCTCCGCATCTTCTTCTGACTCCACTTCAATCATATGTATTGAGGAGGAAGGGGATTTATAATACGTGCCTTTGGAAGAGTTTCTCTTCTGCTGTTCCTCTCTGAGCAATTCCTCGTACTTGGCCGCTTTATCTGCCAGTTCTGCCAGATCTCCAAACAGCATCCCATCAAATCTTTTCCTCAGAGAGATTTTGAGGGCAGCCTGAGCCATTTGAATGAAGTGTCTTTCTTCGATGGGGATTCGGCACTTCATTTTGAGCTTCCTGAACCTGTTTATAAAGTCTTGGGCAGGTTCATCTTCACTCTGTTTGAGAGCTGCAAGGTCACTGATGGTGACTTCTGGCTGAATCCTGTAATAGTAGTCATGGAAGACGCTCTCCATTTGCTCCCATGTCTGAATGGAATTTGCTGGCAGAGTAGTGTACCAGGTGAAAGCTTGTCCAGAGAGAGAATTCCCAAAAAGCCTTAGCTTTAGCAGTGGGTTATTCTCTATGGCTATGCATTGGGTAGAAAATCTGCCTACGTGCTCAACTGATGAAGCATGAGGATCCTCTCCGTTGAATAAAGTGAAGTTTGGTACTTTAAAGCCCGGGGACAGGGGTATCTGATCAATGTAAGGTGGATATGGCTTCCTATAGGTGGGTCTTTCCCCCCTCCTGGCCTCAGGCTCCATCATTTCTCTGATCATCCTCTGCAATGCCCCCACGTCATTTAGAGCATTAACAGGGGGAAGGTTTTGTCCCTGTTCTGGCTGGGCATGATTGAATCGTGGTTCTGCCCTGTATGGTCTAGGCAGAGCTTCTTCCCTGTGCTCCTCCGGCTCCTCCAGGCCTGGGTGGTTCCTCCAGTTTGCCCCCTGCCTGTTCCTGTCGTTATTAGCATAGGGTAATTTCCCCCTCTGCCTCTCCTTCCTCTTGCAGGTGGAGGGAATGGATTGGGGTCCATTCTTCTGGGCCTGTAGGGTACCACTGCTGGATGTTCAGGCAGAACTTCCATAGGGTGATCTTGTGGGGCCGCTTGTTGCGGAGCAGGCTGAGGCTCTTGCTGATTCTGTAGAACTTGTCCTGGCGCAGGACCTTCTGGCTGTATTGGGGCCAGACGTTCTTGGATAGGAAAAGCCACTTCCCGGTGTCCAGCCTGGATTCCTCCCCGTTCTGGCATCCCAGCTATCTGTGCAACAAGAGGATTCTCTTGATATGGCCACGCCAACCCTGGTGGGGGACCATAGGGAAGGTCTAGTTGCTGGACCACCTCATCGGGATTGGGAATTCTGGCCATGGCAGCCTCTCGATCCTTCCTGAATTGCCTGTTGACCTGCCATTGCATCATGGCTGTCATATTGTTTAGAGTATCCTGGCTTCTTTGTGTTGTGACCTCTTGTCGTAACACAGATTCCTGCATCAGGTTCATCCTTCTGGAACCGGTCCTGGACCTCCTACTCCCTGTGCTGCCATGTGCTGAATGTCGGGCATCACTTTCTTCTGATTCCAGTCCTTCCCTGAGGGCCACTTGGTTTATTTCCATGCCGTGGTGTGGGTTCTGGCTAGAGCTTCCGGTATTCATGAACTGGTGAAGAACTCAATGAGAATATGTATACTGAGAGGTCCCACTGGGCGTGCCAAATTGTTCACCCGTTTTGTGTTTACTCCTATGATGGAAGGGCAAAGTTCCCCACTGCCTTGAGAACCATAGACTGGTTGACAAGTCAGCTTTCTTTGGTGTGCGAGCGTGCCACTGCTAGTAATGAACAGTCTAGCAGACTTAGTCTGGAATGGATAACTTGCGCCCCAAGTTACTGATTTCCTAAACAAACGATTGTGAATTTGGGTGAGGAATATCTCCCAAGTAAGTTCTTTTCTTGCCTCAGACTGGTGAGGACTTTAACAATTTATCTCAGTATAAAGAGGTTGTTCTGGCCAGAATAGTTGATGAAATTTAAGCTGTTTTTGGGCGGAAGTGCCTTTTACAAGACTACAAAAATACATGTCGATGCAAAAAAGATAAAGAGATAGCTAGATCTCCATTTCTGCCTGGATGGGAGGCTCTGTGATGGGCTGGACTGGGAATGTCTGGGCTGGACTGGATCGTAGACAACTACAAATCGATGCCAAAGGTTGATTCTGGCAGAGCTTTAATGTACCTCAAGCTTTTGCGAAGCTTCTGAGTAGGCAGAACTGCGGTTTCTTCAGTCTGAAAGGGCAGAAGTGGCTGTTCTTGAGGACGTTGGTGAGCTAGGGGCCATTCCGTGAATTTGGCTGGGGTTTTCCATACTTGGGGGAGGCTCAAACTCTGCTTGTGTTGGTTTTTGCTGAACCAAATTTGTAACGAGAGAAATCTCGTTTTGAATGACTTGCTTTCTAAGTCTGGATTCTGGGCATTCTGATCTGGGACTGGTTTTTCACTTGAAATTCAAGTGGACTTGTTGGTCGACTCTGAGCTTGTTTATGTGACGGTTTGCCTGTGTAGGACCTTTGTTTGGTTGAGTGATGAAATTTTTTGGTAAGATTGATTGTCCTTTGCCCTGTTCACTCCTTCTTGTATTTATAAGAGATGTCTTCTGGAGTAGGGTAATTCTTTTAATAATGGGCGGCAAATCCTTTCAAAAGATTTTCTTTTTTTTAAAAAAAATGGAAAAGAAAAGAAAGAAAAAGGTTTCCTCAGTTTTTGGTAGATAGGCTCTCAACAGATAGGCAATCACTTTCCCTGATTTTCTTGAAAAGGAACCTAATCTCTTTCCCAATTTCAACTGCCCCTCGTGATATTTTGCCGGTGATGGTTAGTTTTGACTCCTTTTCTGGACAGCTTCCTACTTTCCTGCTTATCCCTCCCTGAGATTGTAACTTGCTTATCTCCTTGGGAGAATTACCTTCTGAAAAGACAGGGAAAAAAATCTCTGAGTATGTATATATATATATCATGTATGTGTGAGAGGGATTTGATCTTTAGCTTTTCCAGAATCAATCTTGATATTATGAACCCTTCAATTACTTCTCCTGTGACAGTTGCCATTGCTGACTTTTCTTTTTTTTCAGAGAGGTCACGTGGGATTGTTCCTACTTCTGGGCTTTCTTCTTTCTTTTATATTGGGTTTTGGGCTGGTCTCCTCTGGCTTTTGGGCTTCCATCTTTCTTTGATTTTTTGCAGCTTCATTCTGGGCCTAAATTTTGCTGGGCTGGGTATGCCAATTAGTGGCCCAAACACCTTGAAGGGAAAATTCTGCCTTCTATAGGCCAACTCAGAGAGCTCCAGCACCTTGATCTTCACTTGAATTCCTTAGCCTCTTCAATCCTATATGAGCTTGGTCTTTGTACCAACCTCACCTACTTGGACCTGACTTCCAATCACCTTGAAGGGAAAATTCCGCCTTCTATAGGCCAACTCAGAGAGCTTCGGTACCTTGATCTTCATATGAATTCCTTAAACTCTTCAATCCCTTCTGAGCTTGGTTTTTGTACCAAACTCACCTACTTGGCCCTGTCTTCCAATCACCTTGAAGGGAAAATTCCGCCTTCTATAGGCCAACTCAGAGAGCTTCAGTACCTTGATCTTCAAATGAATTCCTTAAACTCTTCAATCCCTTCTGAGCTTGGTCTTTGTACCAAACTCATCTACTTGGCCCTGTCTTCCAATCACCTTGAAGGGAAAATTCTGCCTTCTATAGGCCAACTCAGAGAGCTCCAGCACCTTGATCTTCACTTGAATTCCTTAGCCTCTTCAATCCCATCTGAGCTTGGTCTTTGTACCAGCCTCACCTACTTGGACCTGACTTCCAATCACCTTGAAGGGAAAATTCCGCCTTTTATAGGCCAACTCAGAGAGCTTCGGTACCTTTATCTTCAAATGAATTCCTTAAACTCTTCAATCCCTTCTGAGCTTGGTCTTTGTACCAAACTCACCTACTTGGCCCTGTCTTCCAATCACCTTGAAGGGAAAATTCCGCCTTCTATAGGCCAACTCAGAGAGCTTCGGTACCTTGATCTTCAAATGAATTCCTTAAACTCTTCAATCCCTTCTGAGCTTGGTCTTTGTACCAAACTCACCTACTTGGCCCTGTCTTCCAATCACCTTGAAGGGAAAATTCCGCCTTCTATAGGCCAACTCAGAGAGCTTCAGTACCTTGATCTTAGAGAGAATTCCTTAAACTCTTCAATCCCTTCTGAGCTTGGTCTTTGTACCAACCTCACCTACTTGGCCTTGGCTTCCAATAAACTCAATGGGGAACTGCCTCTGTTTTTGTCCAATCTGAACAAGATCACCGATCTGAGTTTATTTGCTAATCGGTTTACCGGTCCACTCTTGTCTTCTCAACTCTCCAATTGGACCGAAGTGGTCTCTTTGCAACTTCAACACAACAGCTTTAGTGGGAATATTCCACCAGAAATTGGACTGTTGAGAAAACTCGATGTGCTTTATCTGAATGATAATAAGTTCTCTGCCTCAATTCCGTCAGATATAGGAAGATTATCAGATTTGACAAGCTTGGATCTTTCGAGAAACCAGCTTTCTGGGTCAATTCCTCGAATACTATTGAAACTTGCAAATCTTCAGAGCTTAAATCTTTCCAACAACAATCTCAGTGGCCCATTCCCTTTAAGGGAGAATTTTGATTTGTCTAATAACAATTTGACACCGAAAATCCAAAAAGCCCCCGACAATTCCAAAAAACATAAAAAAGTTATAATTGGTGTCCTTGTACCTGTTTGTGGTTTATCAGTGGTTGCAATTACAATTGCTCTGATTCGTATGTTCCATAAGAAAACCAAGCGTGCTCTTAAGAAAATCAATAGTGCTGAAAACTTTGAGAATTTTGAGTCAATGATATTGCAAGAAGAAGTAAAATTTACGTTTGGGGAAGTTGTAAAGGCCATAGACGATTTTCATGAGAAGTACTGTATTGGAAAAGGAGGATTTGGAAGGGTGTACAAGGCAGAGTTGCTATCAGGTCAAGTTGTTGCCGTTAAGAGGCTTAACATGTCAGACTCTAACGACATTCCAGCAATCAATCTCCAAAGTTTTGAGAATGAAATCCGAACTCTAACAAATGTCCGGCATAGGAACATCATTCGGCTATATGGGTTCTGTTCAAGGAGGGGATGCATCTTCTTGCTTTATGAATATTTAGAAAGAGGCAGCCTGGGAAAGGCATTGTATGGGGTTGATGGGGTAATTGAACTTGGATGGGCTACAAGGGTCAAAGTTGTGAAAGGATTAGCTCATGCACTTTCTTACTTGCACCACGACTGCTCTCCACCAATTGTGCACCGTGATGTAACTGTCAACAATGTGTTGCTCGAGTCAGATTTCGAAGCCCGACTTTCTGATTTTGGAACAGCAAGACTGATTAGTGCCAATTCATCCAACTGGACCCATATTGTTGGCTCATTTGGCTACATGGCACCAGGTAACATACCAATTTAACGTTGTGCATTTTTGGATCATATTTAGGTGACTGAGATACGTTTTAAGGATATTTGGTTTTGTTTTTCTCTTCATGTGCAGAGCTTGCATTGACAATGCGAGTCACGGATAAGTGTGATGTGTATAGCTTTGGAGTGGTGGCGCTGGAAGTTATGATGGGAAGGCACCCAGGGGATTTGCTAGAATCCCAGCTTTCAGAATCATCACAATCAATGAAGGAGGACAATGCAAAGTTGCTTTTGAAGGATTTGTTAGACCAAAGGCTGGAGGCTCCAAGGAATGAATTGGCCAAGGCAGTGGTGCTTGTGATGAGTTTAGCCTTGGCTTGTATACGTACGCGTCCCGGGTCTCGACCTACGATGCTTTATGTGGCACAAAAACTATCAGCTCAGAGACTGCCTTCCCTTCCCGAACCATTTGGCATGCTAACCATCAACAAGCTGATGGGGATATACAACTAGAAGTAAAAAAAATAAAACTAGTTGGAAAGTTTTCTGTGTATAAGAGAAATTCTTATACCATATATTAACATGTATGTTAACATTAACATCTACACCGTCCATTCTAAAAAAATAAAATTCTGCACCATCCTAATTACTCATCTCTATTCTTTTTGGATTATCTGTGTGACTCATTTACTAGTTCTTTTTTTGGGGGGTCAATTTATTACTAGAAATCCTACACATCTAATAGTTATCTAAATATCTTTGGTTAATTTGGTAAATTGTGAAATGACATTGGATTTAGGCCCAATAAACAACGGGTGTTCCACTAGCCCCCTAGCCCACCGAAGAATGTGAGCCAGCGGATCTATTTGGCGGGAAGCAACGGGTCACGAGAGAGTGCCAGCTCATCTTTCCCGCAAGAGACCCCGATAAATACCTGAAAACCCCACATGGTCATTGCTTCTTCTTCTTCTTCTTCTTCTTCTTCTCTGTGAGACTGTTAACCCTCAAAATCTCACCTTTCAATCAGTTCCAAATCTCTCATTTCTATTTGATCTCTGCAATGAGTTCCTTAGGAACCTTCAAATCCCAGACACCCAGAAGCCGAGAAAAGAAAGCCCTAAACCCAAAGCCCCATATCTTAGGCAATGAGATACTGAGCACCAAAACCCCTCAGAAATCCGAAAAATTCTCTGGATGAGCCCTAAACGGCAACGTCGAGCTCTCCATTGGCGACATCAGAAGAGCCGCAGCCGAAAGCCTCAGCAAGTCGAGCCAGAAGCGACGGACGGACCAGATAGATTCTTGGCCCAACGAAAGCCCATATAAAATTTTATTTTCAATTGATTGTTTGGTTGGAAAGATTTTATTTGCCTTTTCTATTTCTGTTTTTGTTTTATTTGTTTTTTTAAAAAAAATTAATGGACCAAGTGGGGCCCACAATCCTCTATAAAGCTTGGAACATTAACTGGTCAACAACATCACGGCAAAACCTTTCTTTGGTCACAAGCCTCCTTTTCCTCTTTTCCTTTTTATTTTTCGGCTATCATTTCTTTCGTTGAAGGCCACCTCATCACCAAGAACACATGCAGAAGCATTGGTAAGCTGGAAGAACACATTTGCTTCTGCACCACCTTCTCTCAGTTCATGGTCCCTCACAAACCTCACAAATATCTGCCTTTTAAGTTTTAATTATTCCAATTTTAAAAGGACTTCGGTTAAGAAATATTGTAATTGTACCCTCCATAGCATAGCAAAAGCCTTCACGGGTGTGGTTATGATACATACTTGCAATGCTCCCTGTATTTCTTTGGTATTTCTTACGGTGATTTCAACGTCGAAATTTCATCATTTTACTTATTTTGCAGGACAATTAGTCAAAATTTTAATCGAAATTGTAATATTTTTTCTGCTTCTTTTTCTGTTTATGGTAGGTAAGGCTAATTTTGAAAGACGTGGTGATCATGAAGATGAATTCCTTTTGAGTCTCACAGAAAAATACATACATAGAGAGTTTGCTCATCTTCAAACTTAGGTTGAGTTTTTGTGATAATGTTGTAAAGAAAAGAAATGAAATTTAGGTTGTGAACCTTTGTACCATTCAGCAATTACCACAATTGAGCTTTTCGGAACAATATTTATAACCTAATTAACCTAGGCCAGTTTTCCATATGTAAGAAACTAAAACAACATAAATAAAACAATCAAACTACTCCTATGAACTCAATGGGGGAACTGCCTCTGTCTTTGTCCAATCTGAGAAGCTGGCACCAAAGGCTTCACCGAGTCGACCCGTAAAAAGGCACGTGCTGGCCGCTCCGAGATGCTACCGGAAAAGTAAGGCTTTTGTAAGTTTCAGTTGAGTTGTTTATATGCATATGATTTATTCCTGACTCCTTTGTTTGTGATTTGCTATTTAAGGCACCTTGGAAATGTTCTAATTTACTATCTAATAATTGTTGCATATGATGGGTGCTTGAATTCATAAGTAGAAGATATTGGTATATGTGGGTACAATATTTGGTTAACTTTGGCAATTTCCCAAGATTTGCGGGCATTGACTATGGTGATTAGAAATGACCAAGGCAATTTCCCTTCATTTATAGATTTTAAGTTGACTGCAAGACTTTTCTTCAGTTTGGAATTATGGTTGGGCCATGCTTAACTTCCTCAACTCATTCATAATAGAACTTAACATGAAATTCTTCTGTTTCCCTTTTTTATTTGTCTGTTTTTTGGTTTTCTATTTTTTGTTAAATGAAATTTCTAACTTAACATAGGGGCAAGACAATGGCTGGGGCCAAGGGAAAACTAGACCACGCCAGTCAAGTCAAGGAAACACTGGAACCACACTTTTGGGTTGAGTTATAATATCTCCTTTCTCTTTTTTTATTTTCCAAACTGAAGTTTTTGAATAGCATGTTGGTCCAATAATGCTTAAATTACAAATTTCCTTTCGGTTGTTGCGGTTGAGGGGTTTGAAGCCCAGTTTTAGCAATATTTGCCCCCAAATCGAGTGTTTGACGGATAGGTATACTTCAAAAAATAAATAAAATTTTCTTTTCAATTGATTGTTTGGCTGCTGAAGAAATGAAATTAGGCTATTATAGAAATTGATCGTCTCTTTATCTCGGTTTTTAGGAGGTTTACATGTGGTCACTTGGCTCAGCTCAAGTTTGTTTTACCTGAGGTGATTGAGATAAAGAAAGTTCTTGTTAAGGATGAGAGAACCAGTTGTCTGAAGCCTGATCTTCATGTCACTATCAATGTTGATGCACTAGAGAGTGATGGCAAGGCGAAATCTGAAGGTGGTGGGAGTATGCAATTGAGGAAGACGTTCCGCAAACGGCTTGCAGATATTTCAAAATCCCATCCTGAGGTATACCCAATACTCAGTTTCTGATACAACATTACTAAAATGGTTTAATTTCTAAAGTATTCTTTGTTATTAAATTGATCTGGAATCTGGAAAGTTATTGGTGTTCTGGCATGACTTTGAGCGTGCAGGGACTTTAAAGGACGCAAGGATTTAGAATATAAATACTGCATTAATTTATGTAACAAAAATAACTCTATGCACAGGGTTTCATTTGTTTGGTTTTTTTCAAAAAGGTTATTCTTGCAGTTGGGTTCCTGTACTTGTGACTTCAACGTTTTATTTTTAACAATTTATTTTTTGAACTATTGATAGCATGTGGTCTAACAATGCTTAACATGCTTTCAGGATTATGAAATTCCAGAAGAAATTTTGCCTCAGCCATTCGATATTAGGAAGCAAGATATGCAATCAGATACAGGCAAGCTTCTCTTGTCATCATCTCCTGGTGACATATTGACTGATGTACACACAGTTGAGCAGCCAGCAGTGTCAACAAGCTGCCTTCAGGGCGATGAAGTTCCAGAATCAAACCTCAATGCAGTTTGCTCTGTTGGGGAAAGGAGTACTTGTGCTTCATTGTATGGCCAAGTGCCTGTGACTCCAACCAAAGGCATAGACCCCATAGAAAATGATGGTAGTTTGCCCACACAAAGTGATAGCATTCAGTCGACTCCAGCAAATCTTGCTTCAACTCCAGCTAGGTTGATGGCTGACACGCCTGCATTGCACCGACCAAAGCGATGCTATATGAGCCCAGATGATAATTCTACTAGCTCACCGAACAAGTTGGTTAGGCTTCCTCCACGCTCCAGGTCTTTGAAATTTGACACTCCTGTGAAGAATAAAAATGTTGAGGATGAAGTTCCTGATATGGGTTGTACATCAATCGATAATGACAGCCTCGATATTCTTCCAGAGGATCTTTTGCAATCGGTACGTTTATCATGAATTCTCTATTTTTTCCCCAATTGTGTGATGTTTATTACTTATCGTCTCTTGCAGCATTAATAAAATGTCGATCGCGAGTCAATACGTGCAGCAAGGCTAGAAGAGGCAAAGTGAGCTGGAGAATGCTAGAATTTTTGAAGTTTACTTGTACGAGAAGCATATTTAGAAGATGGTGTACAATTTTCCCATTTCATTGGGCATCCATCCATTTCCTTCCTTTTGCTATGAATCTTCTCCCATTAAACCTGTTGTACCAGCTTTCAATTTCTCACTAAAAACAATATCTTAATGGTGAGGAATCTATTTATACTGCTCCTCTCTAGTAAAAAAAGGCTGCTCTAACTGTGTATGTGTAAAATATTTTACAAGAAAAAGAATTTATATTTTTATAAAGTCAATAGGGTTTTTCTAATTTTCTCCAGCGTGAAGATATCAAATCAAGGAAATTAATTGAAGACAATATTCTTCAACTTCAAGTATGGAAATGAGACTTCTGATATAGATAGACTAGCAATTATAACAAAAATATTGGTATATGTGGGTACCATTTGGCATGCTAACCATCAACAAGCTGATGGTATATGTGGGAATTGGGACTGCACTAAAAAAATTAGTGGAATATCCGAAGGGAAGGAAAATGGAAACATTTTTTATTTTAGATTTGATTTTAATATTGGAGTCAAATAGATTATGCGTAATGGACAATGAATGAATATGCTCTAATTAGCCCGGGATGTTGTGGCTAAAAGGAGTAGGGTCCTCTAATTTGACAATTTTTAATAAAACATGATTAACACCTGTTAGTATTCACCTTAGTTTTAGGATGCAAAACCTTAATGATGAAGAATGACTTACATAATTTAGGGAACGTTTGGGAGTGTTTTTGGAGATGTCGAAAGCTGTTTTAAATTAGAACAAACACTTATGTCTTTTAAAATAATCTAGGAGTGCTTTGGTGGGATTCAAAAGCACTTGAGTTGGTTTTTCAAGAATCACATAATAGAAGTGTTGCATGGGAGAAATACGGGAAATTTGGCTCTCATTAATAATACTTTTCAAATGCCGAAAATGCCCCCCCCCCTCTCTCTTTTTTTTTATTTATGAAAAATCCCAAAATTGCCTTTAATAAATAAATAAAAGGGGCTAGACTTTATATTTTTCTGTTTTTTGGTTTTCTGTTTTTTGTTAAATGAAATTTCTAACTTAACATAGGGGCTAGACTTTATATTATGTCCGGACAAATGGCTGGGGGCAAGGGAAAACTAGACCACGCCAGTCAAGTCGAGGAAACACTGGAACCATACACTTCTGGGTTGAGTTATAATTGCATTAATATCTCAATTATGAAATGAACCGTAAGTCTATGACATGTGTATTTATTTATTATTAATACTATACCATTAGTCTATGCACATGAATGAAAATAATAGATAGAAACTCTATAATGTGGGGTGGTATTTTGTGTGTGTAACCACACAACTTTTGATTATGAAACGAACCATGGTCAACAGACTCAGCACCATGGAAGGAGTTGAGAAGCCTCCTCCGTTTCTTCTTGTTGTCCTTCATATTTTCATGGAAATGTTGTAGCTTACATATAATCATAGGGGCTAGACTTTATATTCCGTCCGGACAAATGGTTGGGGCCAAGGGAAGGGAAGACTAGACCATGCCAGTCAAGTGGAGGAAACCAACCACACAACTTTTGTTACCACAAGTTCTGTTTTTTATATTTATTTATTTTTTAAATGTAGTTCAATTTTATTCTAAAACGCGGGATTGGGGTTTTTTCTTTGTCTATGTAAAGAAAGAAACTAATGTGAAACTGAGAATGAAGGTTCAATTCAATGTAGTAGCCAACATTGTGCGTGTGAAGGTTCAATGTGTCAGAGGTAGGAAACTTACAAGACTTGACTTCCTCAGCTCGTTCATAATAGACCTTCTGTTTTTTGTTAAATCAAATTTCTAACTTAACATAGGGGCTAGACTTTATATTATGTCCAGACAAATGGCATTAATTATGAAATGTCATCATCAGTCAACAACTATTAGTTCAAAAAACTAAATTTTCTTCTTAACTTAAATTAAAATAATGCTTTCGACCATAAATAAATTAATAAAAATAATGCAAATTACAAGTGAATTTTAAGAACGAAAATGATAACAATAAGAATCAACCTTCTATAAAGCTTGGAACATAACATTAACTCCTCAAACCACCATGGAAGGAGGAGTTTTCTCTGCTCACAAGCCTACTTATCTTCTTCTTCTCCTTCATATTTTCCTGCTTGCTTTGCTTCCATTCAAGGCCATTTCATCCCCAAAAACACAGGCAGAAGCTTTGGTACATTGGAAGAACACCTTTGCTTCTGCACCACCTTCTCTCACTTCATGGTCCCTCACTAACCTCAACAATCTTTGCAACTCATGGGCTGCCATTGTTTGTGACCAGAGCAACAAAGAAGTTTCCCAAATTGACCTCTCCAACTTCTACATCTCTGCAACACTAACCGATTTCAATTTAACCCCATTCCTCAATCTCACCCAATTCAACCTCAATGGCAACAATTTCACAGGGCCTGTGCCATCTGCCATTGGCAACCTCTCCAAGCTCACAACTTTGGACTTGGGCAACAACTTCTTCAGTGGTCCAATCCCATATGAACTTGGTTTTTGTACCAGCCTCAAATACTTGACCCTGGTTTCCAATCACCTTGAAGGGAAAATTCCGCCTTCTATAGGCCAACTCAGAGAGCTCGTGTGCCTTGATCTTAGTAACAATTTTTTAAACTCTTCAATCCCTTATGGACTTGGTTTTTGTACCAGCCTCACCTACTTGACCCTGGCTTCCAATAAACTCAATGGGGAACTGCCTCTGTCCTTGTCCAATCTGACCAACATCATCGATCTGAGTTTATTTGCTAATCGGTTTACCGGTCCACTCTTGCCTTCTCTGCTCTCCAATTGGACCGAAGTGGTCTCTTTGCAACTTCAACACAACAGCTTTAGTGGGAATATTCCACCAGAAATTGGACTGTTGAGAAAACTCGATGTGCTCTATCTGAATGATAATAAGTTCTCTGCCTCAATTCCGTCAGATATAGGAAGATTATCAGTTTTGATAAGGTTGGATCTTTCGAGAAACCACCTCTCTGGGTCAATTCCTCCAACACTAAGCAACCTTTCAAATATTCAAATCTTAAATCTTTCCAACAACAATCTCAATGGCCCATTCCCGACAGAGATTGCCTTCCCACTCCTGGAGAATTTTGATTTGTCTAATAACAATTTTACATGGCCCAAAAAAAAAAACATCAAAGTTATAATTGGTTTATCAGTGATTGCAACTACAATTGCTATGATTCTTATGTTCCATATGTTCCATAAGAAACCCAAGCGTGTTCTTAGGAAAATCAATAGTGCTCAAAACTTTGAGAATTTTGAGTCAATTATATTGCAAGAAGAAGTAAAATTTACGTTTGGGGAAGTTGTAAAGGCCGTAGACGATTTTCATGAAAAGTACTGTATTGGAAAAGGAGGATTTGGAAGAGTATACAAGGCAGAGTTACTATCAGGTCAAGCTGTTGCAGTTAAGAGGCTTAACACGTCAGACTCTAACGACATTCCAGCAATCAATCTCCAAAGTTTTGAGAATGAAATCCGAACTCTGACAAATATCCGGCATAGGAACATCATTCGGCTATATGGGTTCTGTTCAAGGAGGGGATGCATCTTCTTGCTCTATGAATATTTAGAGAGAGGCAGCCTGGGAAAGGCATTGTATGGGGTTGATGGGGTAACTGAACTTGGATGGGCTACAAGGGTCAAAGTTGTGAAAGGATTAGCTCATGCACTTTCTTACTTGCACCATGACTGCTCTCCACCAATTGTGCACCGTGATGTAACTGTCAACAATGTATTGCTCGAGTCAGATTTCGAAGCTCGACTTTCTGATTTTGGAACAGCAAGACTGATTAGTGCCAATTCATCCAACTGGACCCATATCGTTGGCTCATTTGGCTACATGGCACCAGGTAACATACCAATTTAACGTTGTGCATTTTTGGATCATGTTTTGGTGGCTGAGATATGTTTTGAGGAATTTGGTTTGTTTTTCTCTTCATGTGCAGAGCTTGCATTGACAATGCGAGTCACGGATAAGTGTGATGTGTATAGCTTTGGAGTGGTGGCGCTGGAAGTTATGATGGGAAGGCACCCAGGGGATCTGCTAGAATCCCAGCTATCAGAATCATCAAAATCAATGAAGGAGGACAATGCAGAGTTGCTTTTGAAGGATTTGTTAGACCAAAGGCTGGAGGCTCCAAGGAATGAATTGGCCAAGGCAGTGGTGCTTGTGATGAGTGTAGCCTTGGCTTGTATACGTACGCGTCCCGGGTCTCGACCTACAATGCTCTATGTAGCACAAAAACTATCAGCTCATAGTCTGCCTTCCCTTCCTGAACCATTTGGCATGCTAACCATCAACAAGCTGATGGGGATATAAGAGAATTCTTATACCATGTATGTTAACATTAACATCTGCACCGTCCATTCTAAAAAAATAAAAATCTGCACCATCCTAATTACTCATCTCTATTCTTTTGGATTATATACGTGACTCATTTACTAGCAATCCTTTTTTTTTTCAATTTTTTTTTTGTGTGGTAAATTTATTACTAGTATACATAGATAGATAAAGTAAAATGTATTAATTTTGTATAATTTTTTTTTTATTAATTTAAAAATTGAGTAG